GTGGGGGTGGCATGCTTGGCACTGAGGGCACAAATAACAGTCTTATATAATATCTATTTATACACACCAGAGAATGTCTTTAACAAACAGTCTCCAGAATACACAACACGACCGACCGTTATGCTCAACTAATGGTGACTGTAATACACTGAATGCAAGTGTCAGCACAATGAACAAGCAAATGGCTAGAATAGATATGTAACCTTGTGTTGTACATCTTCTACCATTTGTGTGTGTGTGTGTGTGTGTGTGTGTGTGTGTGTGCTAGCATGTTTGTGGGGGTGGGTCTTTCTCTAGAAGAATTATTAGTTCTATGCAAAATCCCTAAAGATGGTGATCTGCCCCGTTTCCCTAGGACAAACTGCAGAAATGGCACGTGGAATGTGTGAAAACTTCGGGACAAAATAAAACACATGTAGTCAAACAGAGAGGAAAAAAAGAGGGGGGAAGGGGGGGGGGGGGTTGTGATGATGCACACACACACACACATGGGGTGAATGAGATGTGGAAGACATGGAATGAGCTGTATGCAATGGCAAAGAATAGGATGGCTTAGGCAGGTTGGCTGAAAGCATCTGCTGCATTGGAGATAAGAAAAAGAAACAAAATGCTGGCTATGTCAGCAAAAGGCCTTACGCTGCTGGAAGATTAAACTGTTCTCAGCTGCATCATAAAAAATAGAAAGTAGGCAGTGCCCTAAACAGTACTAGGACCGAAGACATCCCATAAATGTTAAAGTGTTGAAAAAGTGGGCAAATTTACAGGAAGGAAATAGGATTACTTGCACTGATTTTCAGAAGCAATTATAAACACATCAAATGACATTAAATCAGAAATCTCAGATGATATGAAACCTTAGAAATCTGGAGAGAGAAAAAATAAAATTATAAGAGCATAAACACCAGCTGATATTTGGGAAAGGAAACATTTCTTAAAGAACAAGTTAACGAAGGACAAATGAACTTTAGTCTTCTTTCATAGAAGTCTTCTTTGAGCTGTGCAAAGAAACACTTTACCAGATTGAATGACCAGTTCCTAATAAACTATTCTTAAAACTAGCACCAATGGCTGGCTAGTCACTGTTTAACAGCTTAATGCTGACTTTAGAATGTACAGATCAACGATACAAATGTACACAAGCCATTCAAAATTGCATCTGGGACAACAGACACAGACAGTCAATAACTTCATATTATTTTACCATACAGCAGCTAATAAAACTAATTAAGACACATTTCCAGACAGTTCACTCTCTTTCTCTCTCTCTCTCCTTCTCTCTATCTCTCACATGCACTCACTCTACTGTTACTAGTGGGCATCATCCTATCCTGCATCTAGCCAGGATCTGAACACCTCCAACCCATCCCTGTGGCCATGTTGCAGCAGAGAGAAACAGACAAGAGTGACAGATGGAGACAGAGAGAGAGGCAGAGACAGAGATGGTGACAGACAGACAGGCAGGCAGGCAGGCAGGCAGGCAGGCAGGCAGGCAGACAGGCAGGCAGGCAGGCAGGCAGGCAGGCAGACAGACAGACAGACAGACAGACAGACAGACAGACAGACAGACAGACAGACAGACAGACAGACAGACAGACAGACAGACAGACAGACAGACAGACAGACAGACAGACAGAGTGGAGAGACATAGTATAGATTAAAGAAATAAAAGAGATTGAATAAATGAATGAATAAAGCTAAAGTGTCCAATTACAAAGAAATATACTTTTTTTTAAGAGAGATAGTCTTTTAAGGAAATATTAATGGCAACATGCTCAGGAACTAAACCAATGTGTGTTCATATACAAGAAAAATGACATAAACAAAATAATATACTAGAGAAAGCTATTGCACAAAAATGTTGTAAAGCATTCAAAACGAAATAAAAATGTTATAAACCCAAAAGTTAATTAATGAGAACAGCCAGCATCCAGACCTCCATGATCAACCAATGTGTGCCGGCCACATCAAACTGTCTCAACAATCAGTGACAAGAAGGAATCAAATCAGACTAAGAAAAACAGACTGATGACAGTGGCCTCTGTGCCTTGACATTTATTGAGGGCCAGAAAGAAGCCACAGAACATTCACATATTTCATAGCAATGAAAGAGTATTACTCCACAAAAGAATGACAAAGCTCCCTTGCTTTATGTGGCATCTCTAAATGAAAAAGGATTTGTGTGGTATCTCTCATGCTGGACGGGATCTACAGTAGAAGCTAAACATGAACAGAGAATGAACAAGCGCTTACTTGTTCCTAAGTCTGTTCTGATAACTAGGCTAAGATAAAATCATGTTCCATATGTGCTGTACAACTTGCTACCCTGCTTATGGGTTTCAGTTGATCTCACCTTGTACATACTGACTATTCTCTATACTTGAGTTATGCTTTTTTTTTTTATCATGAACATGAAATCCTGTTATACTGAGGCCTTCTTCCAGTCTCATCTTACTGATGCTTTTGTACAAAGGTCAGCAACCTTCTATCAGTATAGTACCAATGTAATGTTGCAAGGTCACTCTGTGTGCCGACCTAAGTTCACAAATTTTAAATTTTTTTTTTAAACTTTATCTTTAAAAAGAATTAAGCTTTTTATTAAATTTATTACTGAGAAGATATACTGTTTTTTTTTTTTATTCACATGCAACTAAAAATAATTCTACAAGCCACACATGGCAGTCATGCTGTAGTTAGTCGACTGGGTGTTCTAGTACAACGATGAGAGCAACAGGAGAAACATAAGCAAAGTGTAACATGATAGATGCAGAAGTGGATGCAGCAGATGATCTGAGCCTTCAACCACACACAAATAGAATTCCAAATAGCAGTTGCTGCAAAAACACATGTCAAGATTTCAACAGCGGTGATAAGAGATTGTTCAATGAAAGAAAGATGTCAATGTGTACAAATGGCAGATGTGATGATACACATGCTCAACAGTCATACTTGTGACATGCCCACACACTTGATCAACACAACAACACAGCTGCTGGTTACCTACATGCATCAGTTCCAGTATCACTGTCATGTAACTGCACAGGGAGCTGGTAGGTCTGGATCTGACTGGTGTCATTAAATATTATATGCTGCCCTCCACCTGTCAAACATTTCCGGTTATTTGTGATAGGATGCAGAGCCAAACAAGAAACTATGTGCCTCACTCTATCATGTGGTTATCATATCATATATCATGACATCATTTCATTTCTCAGCTCTAAAACTTATAATTTACATCATCATCATCATGTTAACAAATTCTTTCTCCCTAAAATGTTCCAGCCAACAACAATTAAATACTTGTTTTCCCTATTCTGTAAACTTTATGGGAAAGCCAGCAGACAGACAAAGTAACTGAAGAGGAGAGATGAGGTTCAAACAATTTAATGTATAACGCTATCTAACATTAACAGTCACATCAGAGTTAAAGTAACAATCAATACAAGTGGTTACAGCAATAAGTGAGAGCAGATTCAGGAAAAGACGGCAGATGGCCTGGAAATGGCAGACTAATATGTGAATGTTATCTCACCACCTGCTGGGAAGTCCTCCATATGAAATATCATATCATCCGAGTCAAAAGGAGGTCTTATCTCCTGGTAGTCATCACCTTCTCCATCTAAGTCTGAGGCCTGTCAAGAGGATTGAGTAGAAGAATACACAGTATGAGACAAAATGGTCAGCAATGTCTGTTAATGCTATAAAATGTAAAGGCTCTGGAAAACAAGAATACAAACATTATGGCTGCATTTAACATTTGGGCAGATTTTTTAAATTATAAATGTGACAGCAGTAGGAATTCGCAAAACTAATAAAGGCAGATATTTTGAAGACTATATACAAAAAAATTAATAGAAGATAAATTATCAGAAGCTGTAATATGTGTTAGATTGTATAAATATTGAGTAAAATGTAAATGGCAAGAAAGGACACAAGAAATAAAGAGTGTGTGACATGTGCACAACTGTTGTGCTACTAGAACAATCAGCAATTATACCATTACACATCTGCTGTTGGAAAGCATGTATGGGTAGACCAGGTGTGCTGTAATGTTGATCACAAATTCCCACTTTTTCCCATCCAACAGTGTTGTGTCAAGTCTTTCAGTGTCCGATTTTATGCAGTTTTCTGGACCTTGTCTAGGTTGTGTACAATATGATGCTCTGCTGCAGTCTCCGTCAGGCTAATCAGTAAGAATTAAAAATCACTCATGCACATTCTATTTAAACGAGCTCAGATCAGCACATCACAGAAGAAAAGTCAGTAATCAGCTTGACACACACAAATACTATATACACATATATATCCTGTCAAAGAGAAGACAACATGTGAAGAACATGATTTATAAATAATAACTGTGACAATTACAGTGACATGATATAACTGCTACTTACATCCTCATCATCATCATCTTCATCCTCCTCATCATCTTCCTCATCGTCTTCTCCGATCTCTTCTTGGTCAGCTTCATCATAATCTTCATCAGCAGACACATCATCTTGGTTGTCGTGATCTAAAAATGTATTAAAAACCCCATTTCCTGATGTATTATACACTTCAACAATGTCTGGCATCACTGATATTTGAAGCAATCTCCAACAACTGCATCTATCTGGTAATCCTAGTTTCAGCTTCATAGCAAACGGGTCACCCCACAGATGCATCTATGATCTACCACATGACAGCAGTCTTTTACTGCCCAATATGACTTTTTACAGAGGTGCTGGACATATCGGCTATTTTAAGCCTGAGGGAGGCGTGGATGGAGCAGCTGATACTATGACAGAAACAATGCCATCAACTTAGGAAGGATTCAAACTTGGGTCTCCTGAATGAAAGGCCACGGTTCTAACACCTCAGCCAGATAATCTTCTAAACTCTGAATACAATAAATAAATTATTGGATTGATTAATAAACACAGTACACTTAATAATGAAAGACAACATGTGCTACACAACAGAAAAAGGCAACTCTAAGGGAAACATTATTATGTTATTCTCACCTCTGTGGTCATCTGCCTCATCATCCTCATCAGAGAGCACCTGAGTGACCATCTGTGAGTCATGGGCTTCATAGTCATCTTCATCACCTTCCACCTCAACATCAATCAGTATCTCATTGTCTTCATCACCAACAGTGGGCTCTGATAAACACAAAACAGAGGTGATCGTTTCCAAATCTGAACTTGTCATAATTATCATAATTATACTTGTCTGTTGACCAAAAGTCTAACTTACTAAAGGTACTGAATGGATTCTTATTAAGTGACCTATGCTTCCAGGTTGACCCGGTTTAAAATGGTTATCATGAAATCAACTGGTAAGTCGAGGTGTCTAGCATGTTTACCAAATCATCTCTTAAGTGCTGATTGATCTACTGAAGTATGTGTCCAGCACCATGTTTGGTTCACCAATGGCGTGTAATGTAAAAAAAAAAAATTTCAAAAAAAGATGCATCAGTCTCTCTATATGAATGAAAACAACAGTGGGGTGGAGGTGGGGGGCACAAAGCTGACTCAGTTGCATACTAATTCTAAAAAGCTGACTAGCACTGAAGAAACAACACGCATCTGATGCTAGTTAAACTGGTATTAGAAGAAGTAATTAGATTACAGAAACAAGAACAAAAAAAGACTACCGAAAGACTGACATAAAATGTGATCTGCTTCATGATGACAGGTTTACATTTAAAATACAGAAAGGCTTTTTTCCAGGATAAAATACAAACTGGATGTCTCTCAGACACAACTAGATCACACAGGAATACAATGAGATTGTGCTTTTGACTTATGTTTGCTGAGAACAAGGGATGGCGAAGTGACATAACTATGCATTTAACCAATATAAATATGACAATGAATGGATGTGGTAATCCAAATTATAATTATACAGGGTATAAATGTCTAGTGTTAACACAGGAACATATAAGTCTGCTCATAACATTCTTAGGGGAAGTAGCATCTTCCATGGTTCAGTTTATTTCATAATGCCACTGGCAAAACTTTTAAGAACAAAATAATTGTTTGCCTTTTTTTTTCAGCTTCTCACACTTGTAAGAATGATTGTTGCACTCTCTGTTTCGATGATGATGATGATGACGATGCAGTCTATAATATCAAGCTCCAGGTGTTCAATCTTTTCATATGTATCAGCAAACATTTATTCATCTCTCAGAGAGGGTCAATATGGCAATATCAGGCCACTAGTGAAAGCAACTGCAATACTGCACGTCATGACAGAAAATACACTGAAGATTTTTCTCTGGGCTAGTCCTGTCTAGCTGTGGCCCAGACTTTACCTTGTGAAATAGTCATCTCAGACACAACCTGTTCCTCTGGATCCGCCCCTGTGCCAGTCTGAAGGATCTGAGTCAGCACATTGTCCAGTTCTTCCACCTGTAACAAACATAACACAAGGATATAATTATTAATCTGTTATATCAAAAACAGGGAGATGTTATATCACAAGGAGATGTTATATCAGAAACAAGGAGATGTTATATCAGAAACAGGGAGATGTTATTTCAGAAACAAGGAGATGTTATATCAGAAACAAGGATATGTTATATCAGAAACAGGGAGACATTATATCAGAAACTGGGAGATGTTATATCAGAAACAGGGAGATGTTATTTAAGAAACAAAGATGTTATATCAGAAACAAGGAGATGTTATATAAGAAACAAGGAGATGTTATATCAGAAACAAGGAGATGTTATGTCAGAAACAAGGACATGTTATATCAGAAACAGGGAGACGTTATATCAGAAACAAGGAGATGTTATATCAGAAACAAGGAGATGTTATATCAGAAACAGGGAGATGTTATATCAGAAACAAGGAGATGTTATATCAGAAACAGGGAGACATCAGAAACAGTGAGATGACTACTACAAAGCTAGCTACATGTCTACCCTTGTGTATAGGCTATTCTGTCAAAGTGAACTGTTGCAGTCAATGCCCACTGTTCTACACAATTTACATACTGAAATATTTCAACAATGCACTAAACCAATTAAATAACAAGGAGAAGACAAATGTTTGTCATAAGTATTACGTATTCATTTCTGTCCAAAGAAAGGGGGGGATTGGGGGGGGGGGGGGGGGGGGGGTAAAGAAAGATAAAAGCATGGAGGGGGGGGGGGGGGGGGGGACATGGAAAGACACGCAGTTATAAACAAAACAATGGCAAGATCTAACTTTGATAGACATAATAATTTTAGCATATGAAAAGACTTTTTGGGTCAAAATCTATAATGTGGAGAAAAGCAGAAAGCTTATGTACAATAAATAGAAGGATAATTAATATACACAGATAGACAGGCTAAAACCATCCGAATGTGCCACCACTGTAAGTGGCAGCGAATGCTGGAGATCAACCACATTCACACTTTGATGCAAAAATGAGAAACTAGTCTGATGTGATCTCGACAAAATACACAATGATGGATCCGTGTAGCTGCATGTCTTGCCTCACACAACAATCAACATTTACCTGGCTTTCAACACTGGGTTCTATTATGTGATGCTCGCTGGACATCTCCAGATTGGCCTGAGCCGCAGGGTCATGTGTGACATCTTCAATAGTTACATTCATCTCGCTAAGAGATGCTGGCACAGCTGACTCTTCCTGACCATCATCTGAAACATTCAAAGTGACTATTTTACCGTGTTAAAACCAGATAATAACAAAAGGAATTCATCAAGGGAATCCTTGAAAATTAAAGCTTTTATATCTTCAGCACAGACCTACAAATCTGCCTCTAATGGCAAAGTAAAAGATAAGATCTTTTTTACGCCTTTAGGCACATCGGGCATATGGGAAGAGCACCCATATTTTTTTTACAGACCAATCGGCACTAGGTGGGTAATATGGTCAGCATTGCGCCGGCCGTCTTCACTTCCTCAGGACATGCATCCTGGTAACCATTTTAGGCTGGGTCGACCCGCGACGCCATGTACCACGATAAAAATCCACGCAGCCAGCAGTGGATTTCAATCGTGGTGCGTTGGAATTACGAGTCGGACAACGCCTTAGCCACGGACGCCGCTTCTAATGCCAAAACAGCATTTTAAAAAACACTAACCTGGTTGTCACGCACAAAGTAAATTATAATGACCGAGGATTTTGAGATGTAAATTATCTGCCTCCATAGAAAGAAATGCCACAAGAGACAATGTCTAGTAGTTAGCTTGTTGAGTGCCATTTTTACAACATACAGATTCCCCAGGCTCCTCTCATAGATGAAACAAGGAGTCAGGGTCAAGACCAGTGAATATGCCCCCACCCCAGTGCTTCCTCCCTCTCTTTCACTCAACCCCCCACCCCCCTCTTTCTCTTTCTTCATGCATGTCTCTCTCTTTTGTACACAAAATGGAAAGCCACAGTGGTGCAGTGACTAGCATGCCTGCCTGCCAGTCCAGCTGTTTTATGTTCAACTCTCCACTTAAGTGATGACATGCTAATAAAAACTGACCTGGGCACTGAGGTTGACCCAGTACCGGGAAATCATGTCCATCATTGTTTATTAGTTGAATTGGATGTTTGTTATTCTAAGCTTCTGTAATTTAATATTTATTGTTTGTAGTTTCTTGATAAAGAGTTAGGTAAAGACCTAAGCTATTCTGAAATATTTCCATAAAGTTACCCAATATGTGATATTCACTTGTTTCAAACAATTTAAGCAGCTCTAGAGCACTTACAAATGTGTGCCAATGTTCAATTCAAATTTGTGTTGATGTTCAAAAAATGACATCTCAGCTATAGAAAATAAATGGATGAAATGAAGATTTTATTAACTTCATTCTCAATGTTGTGTCACATTACTTTTCCCTCATAACAAGTGTTTTGAATGCATTTTTGCTTATCTGCAATGATCCTTGCTGGATGGCATTTCAGAGAGTTATATAGCAAACTTTAAATTTAACCAATTGATTTTTCAAAAAGAAAAGTTTGTGTTTTTACAGAAATGTAGTATAAGACCACAACTGCTGCACTGAAAATCCTGTGATGCACTGTAAGACGAGTGTGCTGCAGTATTTCCAAGGTTCATTACCAGTTGCACAGGCTAAACCTAGGTCCTATGATTTCATAATGGCGCTGAAAGTTAAAGCCGTGTACACTCACACATGTAAAAATGCAATTATATAAATTTTTCTCATCTGAGGCTAAACGTGGCTGTCAGTATAATCTCATTTCAAACCCAGACAAAAGAATAAAACATGCCCTGGATATCACAGACCACACATTCACTAGATGAGCACAAGAATCCAGCCTTTCTACACATAGCGAGGAAAGACACAGAAAACTGATAGCTTTGACAAAGAAGTTACTAAGGAAGCAATACATAGACTTTTGGATGCTAAAGAATTCTTGACGCTGAAGAAATTGAAAATTAAACTTAGAACAATGACACCTATATATCCAGAGTACATTATGGAAAACTGTAAGAATTGAGGACTTTACATTTCACAAGCATACGGGTGGTAGAAATGTCATTTGTGAAAAGGCTCACTCACATGGTAGCTTTGAGAAATACGTATTATTGTGAAATTAGGGACATGCATAAAAATAATTATGTTATTGTTTATATAGATGAAACATAGACAAATAATATATACTGATGCCAAGGAATGACCGTCCACAGATGGAACTGTAAAGAGTAATACCAAGTAGTAAGGGTGAAAGACTATAACAGCTCATGCAGGTAGCAGACACAATGGACTATTGGAAAAAGGGTGAATTCATGTTTGTATCAAAATTTAACCAGAATTGGGACTATCATGCAACATGATTAGAAAGTGGATTAAAATAACTACAATTCTGTCAATAGACAGGTCCTCCTGTCCATAATGCAGTGGCAATAGAAAACACAAGGTCCTGACATCATCATGTACTAAGGAGGAGAAGAAAATCTGGCTAAGGAGCATGTTTCGTTTACGGTCATGCATCTAAAACCTGAACTGCTGTCACTTGTAAAAAAAATATTAAGACTGGATAAAGACTCTGACAAAATAATATAAAAGCATTGTCACTTGTGTTTAAGACTGCCACCTTACCATTTACATTTAAATCCTAGAGAGTTAATTTGGGCAAAGGTTAATAATTAATATATGTTTACACCTACAGGGAAACTTGGAACATATGATTTAATTCAAAATAAATGCTGACATCAAGAAACATAATAATCTTTTTTTTTCTTAAAGACATAAAACCTATTTGCTAACCAGTGCGCTGGTGGGGGAAAATATGTGATTTTTGCCCTCATGATAACAATTACAGAAATGCCTCTAATTTCAATCATTCTCACAATTTTCATTGGCACTACAATTTGTTCTATAAATATAGAACTGATAAAAATATCAAAGACAATGTTTATTAACTGTAATTTGGCAGTGTAAATATTGATTTTGGGATGAAAATAGCAGGAGCCCATGCAACAACAACAAAAAATATATCACATTCCCAGGATAAGTAATTACTGAGAAAATATTGGCACAAATTTGTAATTGCACTATAGGTTGTTGACAAAAAAAGAACCAACTAAAAAAAATACAATTAAAAAAAAAAAAGAAACGCACGCACACACAAAACAAAATCTAGTGGTAAGTAACAGCCTCATAGATTACCAAATTAGGAACATACAAAATAAGCTGGATACGCACCATTTCTTGCAGGTGGTTCAGTGACCACCTGCATAGTTGTGCCTCCTTGATCCGGTGCTGTGCTGTGGTGGTCAGTTCCACTCTTCTTCATAGAGACAAACTTGTCAGGGGAATTCACTGACCGTGACAATGTTTCCAGGGGCTTCAGGGCTGCATTGACTGTGGAGGCCAGGAAAGGCGACGAGAGATCCAAGCTGTGGGGAATTCTGGCCAGGTCAACCAGCATTCCCTTCTTGACCAAAATCTTCATCATGTTGTTGTTCATGACTTGTTGCCCTGATTCAAAATTACAGAAGTACATTAAAACAAATCATCATTACTTGAGCAATACCACACAACTTTCATTATTGCCAGTCAAAAGTCTACTCTAATTATTCATATTTAAAAATCATACATATAAAAAAAAAACAAGCAACACACGAGTGACCTTTTGTCACCAATATTCTTGCTGTGTGCTGCAGGAAACAAACAAACTGTTGCTGTTACTGTTAATCTAACCCGGTAACACTGAGGTTCCTATTTATAAATCTTATATGTAATTTCACAGGGTCCAGTTGGGCTGAGTGAAGTTAAGAACTGACATCAGAGCACTGGGGACATTGCCATAAGCACTCCATCCGCATCGTCAGCAGGCAGCACAGTTCTAACTGTAACGGTACCAGTAGCTGTCTGTTTATCTATCCATCTTATCTTTTCTCTAAGTGATGAATTTCGGCCAGATCCCCTGGTGGGAGCCACCATTTGCATCATTTTGTTTTTTCATATATTGTTGTTCTACTACCTCAGACCAGTATGGTAGACATAAAGTGTAGATAAAAATGAGTTTAGAAAGTGCAAATCAATGAAAACAGCAAAGCCAGTAAAATAATGAGTCTGCTAAAAAAAAATCCACACAATGAAATCAAATACTGCAAAAAAAAAATTAAAGAATTACTTTCTGAAATGCTACCAGTATATCAAATTTATGAACTTTTGTTTTTAAAAAAAACAGTTACATTTTTTTTTTTAAATCAAAACTACATCTGATTTTCATTTCAGATGTGATTCAGACAATTATTATCAAGGTACTTTCTGCTTTCCCTGGTGCCGCAGAGGTCAAGTCTTTAGTACAGAGTGCAGAAGGGGGCAAATTTGAGGCAATATACCAAACACATCCTAACACTGGGTCATCTTGTAAACTACATGCAAAAAAGATTTATGGAAGAGAAATCTCCCAAGAATATTCTGTTATCTATTTCTTTCATGCGTGTAGCTAATGGATTTTTGAAAACTGTTGACAATTTATGTGAACAAACACATTAGGTCATCAAAAAAATAAGCCTGTCGTCACGCGTGCGTGCGTGCGCGCACGCGCACACACACGCACGCACGCACTAGCCAGTTACAATTTCAAAGTGTATAAAACTGCATGACAGTGTGCAGGCTGAAAGATGGAACAGTGAGTTAACCACAACACTGAGAAGTACTGGCCCACATCCATCACTTTTATTTCTCAAACACAATTTGCACACAAGTTTCTAGCTTGGCGGCTACGTCATCTTGATGATAAATTAGCTCTCATCATAACAGATAAACTTAAAAAAAAAAAAAAAAAGTAAGATCCAAGCTGAATTTTCTGGTTTCAAGATTTCAGTCCCCCCCCCCCCCCCTTTTCCCCAACTGAAACAGCACTGACAAGGATACTGTCCCTCTAAGAAAGCATGCTTTTTACAGTACCAAAGTCAAAAGTTATAAAAGGAGGCATCAAAGCTTCCATGATAGGTGAAACAAACTCTAGCTACATTATGAAATATGCACAGGAAAACTTGAAACATTCCAGAAATTGGTATTGATATTGACATCATCAGTACAGCAATTTATTAGAACATAAAAACCATTCTCCTTACATGGGTTGATTTTATAACCACTAACTTTATTAATAATTTAACTTTAGAAAGTACTCGAATTTGTGTTTCAGTTTCTAGGATTCACAGCTATTTGCTTCATTTTAATCAATTGTTACTGTAGTATGCACCTGACAAGATACAGCAAAATATGCCAGGCAATCAATTGTGCAGTCTATTGTTTGTGTCTTTTTTGTTCAAAATAATGTAACAAGCTACAGAACAATGGAAGACCTCCATATACTAATACTAATCTAAACGTAAATTAGCACAATACAAACTATAAATCAGAAGCTTTATGATGGGGAAAATGAAGATGCACATAAATAAAACTAAGCATTTCAACCAGCCTTTATTTACAAACAAAACAGGAATCAGAAACCACAACACATGAACAATGTTACACAAAATGGAAATGCAAAATCTAGGCAGAAAAAAAAAAGTGGGAAATGACACATGAACGAAAGAAAAGGAAAAAGACTTTTAAAAAAAAAATTATTACACCTATCATGGCAGTTAAAAAAAATTAATAGCTGAAGTATACAAGTGGCTTAGAATGTTATTTATCACATACAGATATATAAATGACAAAAAGACTTTGTGTGGAATAATACCTTTAAACACTTGGTTAGGTATCTGTCCTGGTGTTGGACATGACTCAATCATGGTGTCAATAATACTGGCAAGTGCTTGAATTCGCTGATGTTTGGATGATCCCTCAGGAAGAGCCAGAGCTCGCTGTAAGGCTGCCTTTACTTCCGTCACAAGGGTCATCTGTGCATCTGGACTGTGGCTACAGGAGGCAATGCTGGCAATAAACACCCGGGCCAGAGCTGGGCAGTCCTTGTCACCAACTTCCTGAGAACTTGGCAAGAGGCTATCTAGAACAAATGCCAGCACTGAGCAGCCCTGAAACCAAATACAAATCACAATATATTTCGATCACTGGAGATGCTGTCATACTCTGGCAAACTGCCATTATACACACCCTCAACTTTAACATCCGCTGCAATTATCTTTTTTTACAACCACAACCACTTACAGGTGGAAGCATCACTTTGAACTGACAGAATTCTTGTTTATCTCTGTTCTTATGATACTTTTTTCCTTCAGATGTAATTGTATTATGCCTGTTTACTGCAGAGCTGCGATGTTTGCATCTTTCAGAGGATAAATCCTACTTTATCAGACATTTATTGCTTAGGCTTAGGTTGTTCTGCCAAGTGCTCCTGGTACCTTTTTTAATAGTACTTCCAAGGAGCAAAAAGATTGTGTCAGCAGAATACACTGTAAGGATACCAGCATCCTCGCAGGACGGCTTACAGAAAAATTACTACTTCTAAGATAAAGCTTTCAGTCCTATAATGGAGCACTTTAAAAAAAAATGTGTAAACATCTACTGATACACACATTTTGTATATCACAGAAATATCACAACATTTCAATAACCCAAAATGAAAACAAAAACCAGGAGACAAAATGAAACAAAAAATGCAATTACTCACATCTCGAACAAGTTCTGTCTGTCCAGGCTGGTAATAATGCTGTGTGATCAGCTGGACACAGTTGCCATAGGATCTTATAATTTCAGACAACAGCCGCAGGATAGCAGACTTGGGGATTAGAGGTCGTGAAGATGAGGCAACACTGTCATCTGTCACATTTGGCGCTATTTCTTTCTCCTTAAATAATGAAACAAACAGAAATAGTGAAAAACTTTTCAAGGTCATAAATTTGACTCTTCTAGAAGATATTCCAAACTATTACAGTATATATATCTCTCAAATGTTTAGCTGAATAATAAAATCATAATTTGCACACACAAAAACTAACAACTGTCTTTACTTGTATACTCGACATATATTCTACTGAACAAAAATATTGCAAACATATCTCGTGTTTCAGTCTATCCACCAAACAAAGTTCAGTCAAGATCCAAAAGCACATGGTTAAGGGCTATTCTGAGCAGTTTTACTGACATCATCAGTACTAGGCTGACTGGTAGAGACCATTATGCTTCCACTGAAATTGTCACTACTACCTGCCTTTACCACTTTTATGCGAGTGCAGACAGGAAGTCCTGAGCCTGAGGATTAAGGGCCGCATGGCTGGAGTTGTCGTTATGGAGGTTAGAATGTTTCATTTTGCCCCAGACAGAAAAACTCCATCACCTTACTGGTCATCAGACCCAGGTCTTCCGCAAGAGAGCCTGATGATGTAACATCTTAGCCAGCCGCTCCTCCTATGGTTATACCATTATGTGATATCCAAGAGTACGTATTGTTTAATGTGCTGACACTATTCCTTGTGATTACAGGCTGTCTACCCTTTAATGTACTGACACCATTCTGTGCTATTACAGGCTGTCTGTCTACCCTTTAATGTGCTGATACCATTCTGTGCTATTACCGGCTGTCTACCCTTTAATCTGACACCATTCTGTGCTATTTCAGGCTGTCTATCTTTTAATGTGCTGACACCATTCTGTGCTATTACAGGCTGTCTACCTTTTAATGTGCTGACACCATTCTGTGCTATTACAGGCTGTCTACCCTTTAATGGGCTGACATCACTCTGTGCTATTACAGGCTGTCTACCCTTTAATGTGCTGACATCACTCTGTGCTATTACAGGCTGTCTACCCTTTAATCTGCTGACAGCATTCTGTGCTATTACAGGCTATCTACTCTTTAATCTGACACCATTCTGTGCTATTACAGGCTGTCTACCATTTAATGTGCTGACACCATTCTGTGCTATTACAGGCTGTCTACCCTTTAATGTGACACAATTCTGTGCTATTACAGGCTGTCTACCCTTTAATGTGCTGACACCATTCCGTGCTATTACAGGCTGTCTACCCTTTAATGTGACACAATTATGTGCTATTACAGGCTGTCTACCCTTTAATGTGCTGACACCATTCTGTGCTATTACAGGCTGTCTACCCTTTAATGTGCTGACACCATTCTGTGCTATTACAGGCTGTCTACCCTTTAATGTGACACAATTATGTGCTATTACAGGCTGTCTACCCTTTAATGTGCTGACACCATTCTGTGCTATTACAGACTGTCTACCCTTTAATGTGCTGACACCATTCTGTGCTATTACAGGCTGTCTACCCTTTAATCTGACACCATTCTGTGCTATTACAGGCTGTCTACCCTTTAATCTGACACCATTCTGTGCTATTACAGGCTGTCTACCCTTTAATGTGCTGACACCATTCTGTGCTATTACAGGCTGTCTACCCTTTAATCTGACACCATTCTGTGCTATTACAGGCTGCCTACCCTTTAATCTGACAATGAGACACCTTTTTTTGGGGGGTGCCGAGTTGACCATGTATCTTAGTGCACTTGTATTCATGGCGAGGCGCAGACGCCGTCTGGAGGTGACAGGTTCAATTCCCGGCACGGTAACTATAGCTTTCGATTTTTATGTTGTCTAGTGTGTTCTTCTATCTTTCTACTTCTTTCTATGAGTGCCGTTCACAATACTTTCTGTTACTTGATTAATTCATAATATTTAACGGCCTCAAATGGTTCCCCTCTCTGTTTATTTATAGGAATGACGTATACACACCGGAACCTACCAATCAAATACCTTTCTTAAATGTTTGTGTATTCTAGACAAGGCAATAAGGTCTACTGTGTACGTAAATTGTTGCTGTGATTGTTATTTGACATTTGCCTCGTTAAAATAAATTTCTGTAACCTATGGTGCCATTTCAATGGGTTGAATTGAATTCTGTCCGTATTTCATAGTCGTGGATTTCAAGCTGTACGATAGACATGGCCAATGAGACACCTTTTTTTGGGGGGTGCCGAGTTGACCATGTATCTTAGTGCACTTGTATTCATGGCGAGGCGCAGACGCCGTCTGGAGGTGACAGGTTCAATTCCCGGCACGGTAACTATAGCTTTCGATTTTTATGTTGTCTAGTGTGTTCTTCTATCTTTCTACTTCTTTCTATGAGTGCCGTTCACAATACTTTCTGTTACTTGATTAATTCATAATATTTAACGGCCTCAAATGGTTCCCCTCTCTGTTTATTTATAGGAATGACGTATACACACCGGAACCTACCAATCAAATACCTTTCTTAAATGTTTGTGTATTCTAGACAAGGCAATAAGGTCTACTGTGTACGTAAATTGTTGCTGTGATTGTTATTTGACATTTGCCTCGTTAATATAAATTTCTGTAACCTATGGTGCCATTTCAATGGGTTGAATTGAATTCTGTCCGTATTTCATAGTCGTGGATTTCAAGCTGTACGATAGACATGGCCAATGAGACACCTTTTTTTTTGGGGGTGCCGAGTTGACCATGTATCTTAGTGCACATGTATTCATGGCGAGGCGCAGACGCCGTCTGGAGGTGACAGGTTCAATTCCCGGCACGGTAACTATAGCTTTCGATTTTTATGTTGTCTAGTGTGTTCTTCTATCTTTCTACTTCTTTCTATGAGTGCCGTTCACAATACTTTCTGTTACTTGATTAATTCATAATATTTAACGGCCTCAAATGGTTCCCCTCTCTGTTTATTTATAGGAATGACGTATACACACCGGAACCTACCAATCAAATACCTTTCTTAAATGTTTGTGTATTCTAGACAAGGCAATAAGGTCTACTGTGTACGTAAATTGTTGCTGTGATTGTTATTTGACATTTGCCTCGTTAATATAAATTTCTGTAACCTATGGTGCCATTTCAATGGGTTGAATTGAATTCTGTCCGTATTTCATAGTCGTGGATTTCAAGCTGTACGATAGACATGGCCAATGAGACACCTTTTTTTGGGGGTGCCGAGTTGACCATGTATCTTAGTGCACTTGTATTCATGGCGAGGCGCAGACGCCGTCTGGAGGTGACAGGTTCAATTCCCGGCACGGTAACTATAGCTTTCGATTTTTATGTTGTCTAGTGTGTTCTTCTATCTTTCTACTTCTTTCTATGAGTGCCGTTCACAATACTTTCTGTTACTTGATTAATTCATAATATTTAACGGCCTCAAATGGTTCCCCTCTCTGTTTATTTAATCTAACACCATTCTGTGCTACTACAGGCTGTCTACCCTTTAATCTGACACCATTCTGTGCTATTACAGGCTGTCTACCCTTTAATCTGACACCATTCTATGCTATTACAGGCTGTCTACTCTTTAATCTGACACCATTCTGTGCTATTACAGGCTGTCTACCCTTTAATGTGACACTATTCTGTGCTATTACATGCTGTCTACCCTTTAATGTGACACCATTCTGTGCTATTACAGGCTGTCTACCCTTTAATGTGCTGACACCATTCTGTGCCATTACAGGTTGTCTACCCTTTAATCTGACACCATTCTGTGCTAGTACAGGCTATCTACCCTTTAATGTGCCGACACCATTCCGTGTCATTACAGGCTGTCAAGAATCATCTTTCATTATCTTCGTTTCTCTTTCTATACATTGTTCCAGTTGTCACAGCATAATTCATAAATTATTTGTTCTATTTACATAGTGTGGCCAAATTATTTAGTGTTTGAGTTAGGTGAAGTGAAATAATAGACTGGGTTACCATACTGTCCAACCCTGTAATGAATAGGAATTATCCTGGGAGGTCAAGGTGGTCAGTACAATACTAAACACATCACCCATCAAGTGCTGACTGGTCTATAAAAAAAAGGGGGATATACTTGAAGTGCTAATGGTGTGAAAAGGGATCTTTTATTGTGTATGTGCTCAGGTGCTTGGCCAGCAGATCCCCGGCATGATTTCATAAAAGTTCAATGATTAACTAACCAGTAAATACTCCTAGCCTGGTCTTTCTTACCACAGACAGTTGATCACTTTCTCCTCGGGGCTGGGAGCTGCTTCCGGTGCCACACTGAATGACCCATGAAAAGTGTCCACTACCACTTGGTTGTCCTCCACTAGTTGCTTCAGGCGTCACTTCTTGGAGAGCTTCAGCCAAAGTCTGTGCACCTTTAGTCTGCGATGCGTCTAGCAGTGACCAAAAAAAAATCTCATTATATATGCTTGACTACTTGAATGCCTGATTCGTATCTTTTTTTTTTTAAATTCTACTTTTTAAACTAATCTGTATCTATGTATCTGTGTCGAGTAATCCATTTTTGTAAATATCAATTATCAAGAAAGCACTACAAACTTGTATTATTAAGGGAGGCTATTAAGCAAACACTGATAAGTCACCTGATTAAGGTTAAACAGTATTTAAAACTTGGGGTGGGCAACTTTCAGCCCACAAAATCATCAAGTCTGGCCTTGCTGAACCAACATATGACTGACCAAACATAGCAGGATAATGATTAATTTGATAATTTTCTGCAACACGCCAATTACATAAATATGAAACTTGTCCATGGCTGAAAAAAATGGTTCCCCAAGCCCTACTTTCAATGCTGGTTAGAAGGATTTTGTTTTTTAGAGGAAGGGGTTCAGTTTGATGGATACACATTTATATATGAAAGAGCTTTGCCAATAGTAGCTTAGCTATTTCTAGGGTCTACAGAGTCAGACAGGTCAAGGGGGAACAACCAGACAACAAGAGGCTCAAACCAGCAAGGAAAGTAAACCTGGAAATAAATGCTTGTTTAAATCTGATGTACTTAGCTACAGGCATCACGAAACAGTGCAACCTAACTTGCTTCATAATGATGATGATGATGTGTTTCAATAAAATATGAACAGTGTTTCGGTCAACAATATAAAGCTAGCATAAGTTACTATACAATGCTTTACTATGTTACGCTTGAGTAACTATAACAGGATAACACAGATGGCCTACTAACAAAAAAAGGCATAGGTAGTTCCATAGCTGGCAGTGCCGCTGGGATGTGAAGTGTGACTTTCCCATATTCTAGATCATCACAAGTGGAGTTGGTTGACAAGGTTTCTTCCTTATCAACCTTCCTTGTGAAACAATTTCCACAAAACTCTGCAACTGGTCTGGTATCCATGTTTATGAGGTTAAGTTACCTCAGCAGAACCTTACTGGTATAGGAAAATACTTCCGCCTCTGGGAATTCATTTTTTTTTCTTCGTGTTCATCGGCTGTAACTCTGGCAGAAAGTTCTGGTTGTTCGCCCACCTCTGATTTTGTCTTGTACCAGAACCAGAGTGTTGCGTGAACATCCATTTTACTTATCTGACTTATTTGTATGTAGGTTGTAGGTTCCTTGCCAGGCAGATGTACTCTGACTTCGAAGGAAGTCCCCAATTAATCGACTCTTACGACATGCTTTTTGATGAGTTAGTGATAAGTCTATTCTTGTTCTCCTCCCACAAACAATGGTGCCCCGAAACCCACATGAGGACTCTGGGGATTAATCCCAGACTACTGTCTACGCAGGTAAGCCGCTTAAACACAAACCTGTTTTACAAGTTAGCTCATCATCAGGCTTCACACACACAAATTTGTATCAAGAAAGTTTCTCTTACTGTCTCTGTTGCTCCTGCTGGCCTGTTCAGCAATAAGAGCATTCAGGAGATCCCAAATGAATGTCTTGATGGAAGGGTTCACCAGCAACTCTAACTGCTTTGTAGGAGTGCACTTGAGAATTTGTGGAGCATTCGGACCAGTGTACCTTGCTTCATCTTCATCTGGAAATTGATGGGATTCAACATTCAAGATTAATTCGTGCTCAACATAATTTGCACTAAACTACACTCATATTTTAAAACCCACTCTTATGTTATTTTATTTATTTCAAAATACTGGTAAATTTTAAAACGTGGGACTTTATCATACATCTTTTTTTTTTTTGTAATAGCTCCAGGGGTGTATAAATGTTAGACCTCAATGGCACAAGCTTATGGCATGAAATCCAGAATAGTGTATTCAATTTTGATGTTTACCAACTTTCCCTTTCAGAGAAATTGCTGGATCAACTCAAGCTGCACTGTAACATTACTGGGAATTAAACCCCAAACTACAAGGGTAGACCAATAAGTAAGTCACAAATTGTTATGGGATGGCAGGAAAATGTAGTTGGTGGTTTGTAAAGGTGTCATAGTGTCAGCAACAAACTTTATGTCTTAGTTTGGCTGCACTAGGTGCACACAAAATGGCGACTGCTCTTACAGAGTGTGCCCTCAAAGAACAAATGTGCTCTGTGTGTGGGTGTGGGGGGGGGGCTGCTGCAAAGGATATTCATAAGGAAATGCTTCCTGTTTATGCTGACAAATGATTATCATGTAGAGCGGTGCATAGCTAGGCAACAACAACAAAATTCTCAAGGGCGCTCTAAAATCGTTGATGGAGCCTGATCTGGTCATCCTGTTGAGATTGCAACAGACACATCCATGCAGTGGATAAAGGAGATGATTAGAGGCGACAAGTGAGTAACGGTTGACTCTGTAGCAGCTGTTATAGGGTGCTCACATGATTTAGCATACAACATAATGCATGATCAACTGAAAATTTTGGTCCACTAAAAACCTACATTGGTGGGAGACATTTTGAGTGAAAATGTGGTTTAATTCTTCTTCCTCTTTTGTTCGCTTGAAATAAATTATCTATATCTGCTATGTTGTCTCTAATATGAACTTCACTGTCTGTTGTAATTCACTTAGTGACCCGTAAAGTTTTACTTGGCCAAAAGTTTTGCCTTGAAATGTTGTATTTGGGACAGTCTTGGAGTACATGATCTGTTGTCTCAGGTGCCAATCCACATGTGCACATGGCTGATTCGCCAATTTTAAATTGTGTGTACATGTGGCTGCGAAGTCGACTGTGTCATGTTCTAAGGAGTAGAATGAGTAGAAAAATAACTTGCTCTGGTCTGTCCATAAAATGGTAATCGTCGTGCCGGTTTTGGAGGCTTTCTAATTGATTTGATTATTCTCTTATTTTGCTGATAAAATGTAGAAAACAGAGCATGCAGTTCTCTGTGCTTATACTATTACCCCTTCAAGGCTTATTTATAGTTAGCATTTCTCTTCTGAAACCAGTATTTATTTTGGAAGAAGAAGTTTCACGACTAAACTGAATATATATTCTTGGATAGACTTATTATTATCAGAAGGTAAACTGTTACGACACTGGGAAATTTATATTTGGTTTTCAAAAAACAATCTGGTCACACAAAACTATACCTCTAACAGAAGGTGGAGGCAGAGCAATCTGCAGTGTATCTCTGGCTACTTGGGAGAACAGCTCTGGGTCTCTGCAAGCTGCAGGTCCCAACACACGAAGTACATAATGCATCTCCCTGGCTCCAACACCACCCTGACTGACTCCAGACTGACATGAGCCGATTCCAGCACAAACATTTCGCATCACCTAGTCAATGACACAAGATAAAAACATGGTTAACATTGCTTTCATCAATGTAGAATCTGTAACTGGCTTATTTTATTTTATGTCCAATATTTTTTGGCAGAGTTTTCACAGCATTGGTCAACAGTACTGATACCAACTTTAAACACTAAACATTACTGCTATTATCTTGTGATCGCCTGTGCTGCTCTTCTCACAGCTTGCCTGAGTGACTGATTCTCCTGTTTTATTTCTCCAGCCTCCTCTATTATCACATTGAAGGTTTTCTTAATGGCCTGTACTAAGAATTTTTTTTAGCCAGTTCTTGTCGTCTTGCAGGATGCATGTCTTACATTACTCCTCTGTCTTAAAAGATGTTGGGGGCCGCGTTAGCACAGTCGATAGGAGGCTCGCTTTCAAATCCAGCTGCCAATCGCTGCAGTCCACGGTCGGTGTTCAAAACTGGACAGTTCCCGGGGTTCACCCAGCCTCTAGGTAATGGGTACCAGAGTTGACACTCTGGTGTAAATGGAGGAACGTCGCTGTAGCTATGGAGTTGCGTGCGGACAGCGACACAGGCTAAAAGTTTCTTATCAGCTGTCAGTACTGGTGGCAGAGCACTTATGGTTTATAACCGTGTGCAATGACGCTGGTTCACATCTCCTGACTTTACCTTACCTTAATAAATGTCATCAGAATACTTCAGTTTTTTAGATGGTACTGTTTGTGAGCCACTTTTTAAATCTGAAGGCCAAAATTGCTCATTGTTTTCCTACTCTTCATCAATAGCATAAAAATTCTTCAAAATTCTAATTCAAACACTGTACTTTTTCTCTTTAAATTAAAATTCTGTGGTGTGACTTACTTTTTCCATGCAATATCGAAGTGAGACAGGCTCTTCCAGGATGTGTCTAAAAATCAATGTTGACAAGTTCAAGAAGCCCTGGAAGCTGCAGTCTAAAGTCAGTGTGAGCAGTCTCTGAGCACCACCTTCCTCCACAAACTTGACCGCATACTGGTGCTGTCTTGTCAGCCGTAGAATCAGCCGCATGGCTGCATGCAATGTATCAGGGTTTAGGGGAATGCTGAGAAAAGCACTAAGGCAGCTGTGGAAAAAAGCAAGCATTTATTAACATTAACACTGTTAGGCAAATACCAGACAGAAAAATGAGTGTTACATCACACACAGGTGCTGTGGTAGCGTTGTGGCGGCATGCTTAACTGATGGTCATGTGGATTTAAGTGGAATTTTACTTCAATAACTTAGGTTTCCAGGATAACCTAGCCTTAAATGGGTACCAGGAAATATGCTTGGAAGAAAAGGCATCTGATGTCCTACCAAAGGTCAAAAAGAGAACAGGGTACCATTGTATTAAACCATCGAGCACAATTTCTGTTGGTCTTAACCTTCTTCTTATACTGCTGATCTTTCTTATCGTTAACAATGTTCTGAAATGCCTCTCTTCAGACAAGTATGAAAAACTCAACACTTTGTAACCAAAAGGGTGTCCTAAAATAATTGGGGGTTTCCCCACTGAACTAGGTTTCTGGGATAAGCTAACTTTGATTCTCATCCTTGAGGTGTAAATCCTAGACAGCACTCCTGGAAGGAAACCACCACATACTAGTACTAACTAGAAAGGTCCTGAATGTGATGAAGGCTGTTGAAGTCTTGCAAGTTATCCTACTGAATTAAACACCTCAGTTGTTCAGATAAATAGACAACATTTAATGAGGCAAGTATGCTGATTAAGTTGACAAAGACAGCAAAGTATCACACTGTTATAATCAATCATATAGACATAAAATGATGTACGAGGCTAAAAAATGAACGAAGGAGACAAAAGTAGTGAAATGTACCTGATAATAGTTTCAATACTTTCATGTGGCAGTCCTGGCAGGTAGTTATCCATGCTGGTCAGCACTGAGAACTCTTTCTTGATCTCTTCTGTTGAAAGAAGTCAATCAGTGTGTCAATTAATTTTTAGTAAGTGCGTAGAGCAAGTTTACAAAAGCACACAACATGACCACTTCACTAAACTTTAATTCTATTCACAAAAAACTGTCAAACTATACCTTTTTTTCTTTCTCTTTTAGATCAATTCTGAGTTAACAAACTGCATGCAAAAACCTCAGTGTGTGTCTGTTAGAACTAGTTGCATTTTAGATATTATGTTGTGGGCGGATTTTCACATTTTGTCAGGTATGCGCAATTTACAACTGCCAATTGTTCAGATTCTAAATATTTCGACTGACTGATCAAATCTTTTCTTTAATTTCCCTATTATATTGGTCTGTTAGTGTTTGTTTTTGTGTGTGTTCGTTGTACAAATTAAGATGCCTTTCCATGAAAAACTGTGTTTTAATACTGCACAGATCATGTTATTGCTCTCCCTGCTAGATCTTTCTGATTCTGCAAGTCCCCTTCCTTCTATGTGTATAGCAAATAACAAAGGACTCTTTATACACCTTGCAACAATCAATCATTAAGTGCCCAGTGGTCCAGAGACTACCCTTTGCAGTGAAAACATCTCTTTTACTTTACCTGCTATGTATTAATCATATGTCTCTTAACTGATAGGTATTACATTTGCTAATAAAAAAAACCAGCTCACCTGCAAATGCTTCATTAGCTTCTTTGGAATCTTTCTTTCCTGGCAGCTTTTCTTCTGCCGTGGGTATAGCCAACATTACAGGTCGCCTGTTGCCAGTCTCCTCATTCAGCTAAAATAACACATTATAATTTAGGGCTGATGTTATGTTAAGAAGTTTTATAATGAAATTATGACATGTTGTATACAACAACGATGTTACACAGTTAGTTAAATTAGGTCAGTTAGCTAGTTATTAGTTAGGTATGAGCATACTGGTGAAGACAGCATAACATAATAGTTTCAGGTATAAACATACTGATAAAGATAACAGATTTAAAAATTTAATATCACAGTAGTCAGAAGGCACCTGACCAACCAAAACTTACACCAAAAAATGTGGCGTCTTTTACAGTGAAGTAAGAAGAAATTATAAGCTGCCTTTCCTTCCCACACAGTCAGCGGCTGATAAGGGGGAAGTCATGGGTGGCTCAGGCAGAAGACACAATCAGACAGGTTTGCATCCTTGAGAACATTAGGCGAGGAGAACAGTCACCTGAACAATCAGACTTGTGTAGGGTCATAATCACACTGAGCAATTTATTCAAGATAATGCTCGATCAGAGGATTTGATTATTTAAATAGATGGTTCAGTGTCAAGAGGCAAAAGAAGAGCTTGGGGTTTCTTAGCAAAAGTTAATGGTCGATGTTTGGTGCAGGAGAGCCTGGCATATGATACCACAACATCCAGCTTGAGAATGAAGCAGGAGACGGTCACTGCAGGTTTCCGCTGGTTACAGATCACCACACACACACACATAGTGATTGTAACTGACTCAGAAAGCATGCCGAGGAAGATCAGGACAGGCATGCTTCGTGCTGAGTGGCATGCTTTACTGTGGAGAACACGGGTGAGGAGTATTGTCTGGATGTTTTCACCTGTACGCCGGTGTGTTGGGAAATGAACAAGCAGACAGACTGGCTGGCTCTGCACATCTTGGTGGAATACTGATGCATGACTAGGGCAGACGTGGTTAGTCCCTTGTGGGAGAGCATGTACAGTTCAGAGGAACACACAGATCACCAGTGTGGTGAGATTAAATCAGGGGGAAGTGACGAGAGGTTCTGGCAGATGCTCGAGGCTCAGAGTAAAGGCAAGACGGACATTTAATCAGAATGCTACTGGCACCATTAGTATCGGAACTCTTCGCTGGCTGCTGAAGATGGGGACGTGGACGAAGCGCTTATGGGAATGCCTCGAGTGCTGAGAAGTCGGTTCTTGAATCAACTCAACTCTTTCCCACAAAGTCATCTCTTAAGGTACCATCTTTTAACATGGTTTAAATTAGAGGGCTCAGTGTCTGCAAACAAGAAGACAGATGTTAGAGATCGAGGAAACTAAATGTATTGAGATAAATGGAAGAGTAAGGAGGGAAAGAGAAGAGGAATGCAAATGTACAGAAAGTGGAGAATTTATGTGCAGGTAAATTATTCAATTCTAAAGAAAACAGCTTGTTACCTGTATCATTGTCCCAAACTGTACAGAGTACTTTCTCCTGCCTGCTTGAAACCTGAGGTACACAAAAACCAGACATAAACTTTACCTTAAAACAGTTTTACAACTGATGTATGCAACCATGATCACTTCCAATCAAGTGATCTGCCTTCAGAAAGCAGGTACTCTCACATACAAGCCGAATAGAAACTCAAACAGCCAGTCGCACAGAAACTTTTAAACATCTAGCAAACAGCAAACAGTTTAACAAATGTATCTCAACCAACACTACAGTTACAAGACTGTCAGAGATTAAGTCAAGCAACAAAATAAACAATCCCTTTTCATCTGTCACTACAGAATTCTCTAATGTAATTATTCTTCTTCCTGTTTTTTTTTCTTGTGACATCTTACTGATAGCAGGACCCAGCCCAGTGTTGTGGTCTTCTGTATTTGTCTTGTGCTTTTCAGGTGGCTTGAGCGATGAATTTGCTCATCGTTTTGCAAGCCCCAGCTACACTATTTATACATCTCTTTCTTGGTCTTCCCCTTGCCTTCCTCCCAGATGTTTTTCTGTAAAAAGAATCATGTGCAGTCTGGCCTGGCTGCATTCTCACTAGATGGCTGAACCATTTCATTCTTTGTCTGTCTATATAATTCAGACATGGTTTTATTCCAACTTTCTCTCTAATGCTGGTATTCGTAACCCTGTCTCATCTAATGTTATAGACCTTACGGAGGCAGTGCATTTCGTATGTAGTTATTTTCTGTTCTAGTGCCCTATTCATTGTCCATGTTTGGCACTGATAACATAAAGTAGAGATAAAGACGCTATTAATCATATGCTGTTTGGCTCAAAGAGAGACATTTGGGTGTCTAAACAGTGGGGCTAACTGGTAGGTGACAGCATTTGCCTTCTTAACTCTGACTTCTATCTCTCTATCAAATCTGCCATCCTCCGTAAATATGCTTCCTAGACATACAAATTCTCATACTTGTAGTACCGTTAACAAGAAAGTTCATGATATTTGGTTTCCTGCCTATCCTCATTACCTCAGTTTTCGCGGTGTTTATTCTCATGTCATACTTTGTGTCAGCTTGATGTAAGGAGTCAATATGGTGTTGTAAATTCTGTTCTTGGTAGTGTATTAGACATTGATCTATATAATTCATAACCCATTGAAATTGAAGTTTTTCCATTTGCCACTGTGATTATACCATTACTACAATTAGTTATAAGTTGGATTATCTTCACAGCACTACCGACACATCCACATGTGCTCAGATTCCCCCCTTCAACATATACATCATGCGGTTAATAGTGCCAGTCCTATGTTGGTTAACAAGACTTCTTGTAGGTCTGGCGTGTTTCTCATGCTTGGCTGTGCCCATCTTTACTCCCAATTCTCATATTCTTAGTAGTGATGTGGATACTACAAACTGTGATCTTGATAGTGATACACTTTAATTCTGTTTTGGCTACAGGATGCACTAACTCCACTGTGGCTGCAAGATGCACTAACTCCACAGTGGCTGTAGGGGCACTAACTCCACTGTGGCTGTAGGAGGCATTAACTCCACTGTGGCTGTAGGATGCACTAACTCCACTGTGGTGGTAGGAGGCACTAACTCCACTGTGGCTGTAAGAGGCACTAACTCTACTGTGGTGGTAGGAGGCACTAACTCCACTGTGGCTGTAAGAGGCACTAACTCTACTGTGGCTGCAGGATGCACTAACTCCACAGTTGGCTGCAGGAGGCACTACCTCCACTGTGGCTGCAGGAGGCACTAACTCCACTGTGGCTGCAGGAGGCACTAACTCCACTGTGGCTGTAGGAGGCACTAACTCCACTGTGGCTGCATGATGCACTAACTCCACTGTGGTTGTAGGATGCACTAACTCCACTGTGGCTGTAGGAGGCACTACTAACTCCACTGTGGCTGCAGGATGCACTAGCTCCACTGTGGCTGTAGGAGGCACTAACTATACTGTGGCTGTAGGAGGCACTAACTCCACTGTGGCTGCATGAGGCACTAACTCTACTGTGGATGCAGGATGCACTAACTCCACTGTGGCTGCGGGAGGCACTAACTCCACTGTGGCTGCAGGAGACACTAACTCCAATGTAGCTGCTGGATGCGCTAACTCCACTGTGGCTGCAGGATGCACTGATGCACTAACTCCACCGTGGCTTCAGGAGGCACTAATTCCACTGTGGCTGCAGGATGCACTAACTCCACTGTGGCTGCAGGATGCACTAACTCCACTTTGGCTGCAGGGTGCACTAACTCCACCATGGCTGCAGGGTGCACTAACTCCACTGTGGCTGCAGGATGCACTGATGCACTAACTCCACTGTGGCTGCAGGGTGCACTAACTCCACTGTGGCTGCAGGGTGCACTAACTCCACTGTGACTGCAGGAGGTACTAACTCTATCTACAGTGGCTGCAGGAGGTCCTAACTCCGCTGTGGCTGCAGGATGCTGTCTCAATGTTATTGTAAACTTGCAAATGTTTCCTGCAGCCCTGGAACAGTAAGAGTAGAAAGCTGATGTTGCAGCATAAAGATAGATGATCTCTGCATTGTGTATGGCTTAACAGATGTTGACAATGAATACCTGACAAAACTCTCCCCTCTACTGTAAGCTTCATCAATTGTTGCATTGTTGTGGGTACTGTACTTGCACCACCGACCACTGCTGTCATCAAACCATTTCCATATTCTGTTAGGACCCTGGAAACAAAAATTTTCTTTTTAAATTTATTTGAAAAGCTTACACAATTTTTCCACAACAAAATGAAAAAAAATCGGCCACAATTTACTTAGTTCATTCCTAAGGTCAAGTTTTTATTCTTTGACAACTGGATTTTTGTTTTCCTCAATGCACTTTTTGCTCTTCTGGGTTCAAACCTACGCTGAGCCAGATTTCTTTTCAAAAATCCCCTAGACTCTCAGGTTGACCCAATCTAAAATAAGTACCAGGTAAAGTCCTGGGAAGTAAAGGTGGCCGATGTGATGCTGACCCCATTCCCCATTGAGTGCCGATTGGTTACTAAAGAACAGGTCTAGCACCGTATGCCAAATATATCTAATGGTGTGGAAAAGGGTCTTTACTTTTTGCTATTTTTCTCTAAATTCACACATACAGTGAAAACATCTCCAACTGCAAGAAACAAACATATTGCTGGTAAACATATATTCAGTTTTTCAAACAAAGAGTACAAGTGTTCTACTCACAACTGCCATTCTTGCTCGCATCTTCCTTTTGAGAGTCACAGAGATCTTCTCCCATAAATCAAGTAGCAACAGCATATGAGTAAGCCATCTAAAAGTCATAAAGCAACAACAAAATGCGTCAACTAACAGTCTTGACAAGATTCTACAATCAATCAAAGCTAACTTGCAAAGTTACTTGTAAAGTTTACAATTAATCTATGCTACTTCACAAAATTAGAGCTAGATTTTTTTAAATCCACTAGGAATTACAGAACAGTAAAAATTAGGATGTTGCATATTCTCATTTGAGAAGGTAACATAACATATATTTAGCATGACAGTAGAACTTACAGTAGAAAGCAGTGTTACTTAAAAAACAAACCTTCCTAAATGACTAGACTGATTTATTTCACAAAAATACACAAAAAAGCCTGGCTATTGGAGGATGTCATAAACTGACAAGTTTTTCCGTCTATATTGATGTCTAGAATGTGTGAAAGTTAAACACTTCCTATCTCAAAGGCTTTATTTGCCATGGGAATATCTAAACCATACCAACAATGCCAAGATCATATTTCATATAAACAGAATTAGTTACAAAATTGTGGGATTTGAAATAATGCATAACAGATTCTAGAATTTTTTTTTTTTTTAAAGTTAAATTCATTGACTGGTATACACTGCTTTTTAAACCTAGTTAGTTAGTCGACAGATTTTCATCATTGTACATCTACCCATCTAGTCTAAATGTGCTCAGATCACCTCTTAAGTATCTCCCTCAGCGTGTAGTGGCTTATGACACCAGTTCTGTGTTGGTTTACTATTCTTCTTTGGGCTCCTTTGTAGCGCTCATGTCTGGCTTCACCCCTTTTGATGTTATGTTTGTGCAGTCTAGTCAAGTGTTGCAGATTCACTATCATTAGTTGATTCAATTAACCGAGCTACCTTTCTGAGGGCATTTAGCAATATCAGCCCTGTCCATTGATCATCTGTTTTCCATGTGAGTATCACTTGCAAGTCTGTCAGCTTGTTCACTACCCTTTACACGAAGAATGTTTAAATCCAGTAAAGCAGCTTACTAAATTTCTAAACAAATCCATATGTAAGTGGAAAGAGTTCAGACTCCAGGAGAACAGCATCATACCTTGGTGTTTGCTTGGGTTCTGATGTCTGCCCAGGACACAACAAGGCATCTCTGCTAACTTGAAGGAGGTTCACGAGGCGCAGCGGCAACTTCTCTTGATGCATAGCTAAGGCACAAACTAGGTTCATCTCCTAACATGACAGACAAGAGATGTGGCAAGTTGCATTTATACACTAAAATGAAAAGTCAGCATGTAGTTGTTTAACATAAATAGTAGTTGGTAAGAGCGGGTTTCCCGCTGTGTGTATGTGTGTCCTCGTTGGGAAGCCTTGCCAACTGTTGCCAAGGTGCTGGCGCGTTTCTTCGCTCAACTCTCAAGTGACCTGTGTGCTGAGTCTTCATTCTGGCGGAAGTCTCTCCAGCCACTTGTGTGTTGAGTCTTCATCGCCATGAATTTCCTGGAATTTTCAGTATCAGTGCCTGACAAGGAGACCAGCGTTGCTTTCCTGCAACATCATGGCATTCTGCATAGCACCAGATTTTGTCGCAATAATTATGTGATGCTGTTATCGCTGACGGAAAGAGGACCATGGCGGTGTCGAAAGTCGACCTGTCGTCTGGACACACAGTTATGGAAAGGGGCATGGCTCGAAGTGTTGCACCTGCCTTACAGACCGATCATTCTGTTTCTATACTACTGGTCTCACAAGTTGACAAGCATTCAATTTTGCCAAGTAGAGCTTGGCATGTCGAAGAAAACAACTATGGAGTGGAGCAACTACATACGGAAGGTTTGTGCCAATACATTATTACTGAATCCTGCAGTGATAGGCGGAGAGAACACCACTAAAATTGTTGAAAGTCTGTTTGCAAGGCGGATAAATCATGTGGGACGAGTGTTTCCACAACAGGTATTTGGTAGCGTGTGCCGCGAACAGGCGAATGCTTTATGTTCAGCGTTCCAGACAGAAAAGCAGAGACGATTCGGCCAATCATTAGCACAAAGCATAAGACCTGGCACAACAGTAGTCTTTGACCTGGGGCGTGTGTACAATGGAAGTGAGAATATTCCTGGATTGACGCATCTCACCGTCAATCACTCAATAAATTTTGTCGACCCCACCACAGGTGCGCATACACAATGCATCGAGCGCATGTGGAGTTTAGCAAGGGAGAGAAACAAGTGTCAGAATGGCACACAGAGAGACTTATCAGAGTCTTACATGTGCGAGTTTATGTGGTGTAGACGCACTGAACGTGCAGGTCGTGACGTGTTTGCGACATTTCAAGCCGACATTGTTGCAATCTGGCCACTGGAATAATAGTCTGTCGTCTATGCTGCTGCTGCTGCCGCAGCCGCCACAACAGGTGCTGCATTCCGACCTCTCTGCAGATCTACTAACGTGTAAAACTGTTCTCATTTTCAATTCGTGCGTGAACCTAGCAGCATAAATCTAGAATGATTGGCCCATTTTAGAGCTGTCGGCGACATTGAGTGTTCTATATTCCACAATGTGAGCACTTTTAACGACTCCAAAACATCCGCAACTGATCCTAACCACAACTCACCTATGTTTCACGAGAGAGTGAAAGATCTTCTGACTCCACAAAAACTGCATCCTCACAACTGCATCAACACATAGAAAAATGCACACCAAAAACATGGCACAAGAAGCAAACACAGCACAGCACAAAATTGCACGGTGAATGAAATACCAAATTATTAACTATAGGATTCATCTACCACCCCCTGAAATATTAGACTGTTCCGCGACCTATGGAAGTCCCTTGTTTGGGGGAAGATATTAGGACAGAACGCAAAATATTTTTGTTTGACTTCCCTCACACCATGGTTTAAAGTTGCTTGCTGCTTTTGTTTCTCATATTTTTGTTACCTGATTCAAATTTTTATACTTCATTAACTCTGTGGCATTGTTCATATTCTGTAATGCAACAACAGAACCTCAGACAATACCCACCTCTGCCAACAGACTCAGTAAATGAAGACGTGTGGCAAACTTCTTGGCACTTGCTGAGCTTTCCATGGCTCTGATGTTCATCTCTTGAGCATAGAAAGTCATCTCTTCGCATAACTCACAAATCTGCATTTTTTTAAAAAACATTGGTTAGACTGTGAACACTTTTATAATATCAGAAATGTCTGGAATGATCAAGAAGCAAATGGCCGTTTTAAGGCACCTCATTAAAGAGCTAAATTAGAACAAAGAACACAAAAGCAGGCTGCTCAATTTAACGTCTGACATATTCTGTTGTTAACTTGCCAAGTACAAACTAAAGAAATATAAAGGAAAGAAAGAAATCCTTTCAAAGTGTATTATTCTTTTTCTTAGCTGTAAACACTAGCAGAAAGTTACGGCTGTTCAACCACTTGAATGTGGTGCTGTCTGTGTAAAAATGAACTTTTCCAAAAATTGTCGACCTGGCCCAAATTCACTGTTTTGAACACCTGCATATGGCCTCAACTCTTTAAATATGCTTACAGTTTCTGCACTTTCTCCTCCCTAAAGCAAACCCCCTTCCCCCCGACCTACAGAAAGTTGTAACTTTAAGGCCCACTAGAAACCCTTGCAGAGAGGGACTGCAACACTGTCTTACCTCTTTGCACAAAGCTCCAAGTGTTTCTTCTTTCCACTGAGCTCCATTTCGACTCATGACCACAATGAGAAGATCACAGACACGGTAGACAGTCTCTGGCAGTAGGTCTAGCAAGTTAAGGCAACCTGCAAGTAAAATACATGCTTACTTATAATTGCTGTCTAAAAGTGGGGCTGGATATAGCATTCTGATAACTATATTCACTTGTTGCTGTGTCCATCCATTTTGTATCTTTCAATGCAAACATCTTCATAATCTTAGCAAGATAAAACTTAAATCACTTATATCTTCTTATGGTACATGCTATGTGGCACTGGTAGTCATGCTCTTCTGTCTCGTTCACATTCAATCATTTTACCAATATTAGTACACATAACAAATCATTTTTCCAATATTAGTACACATAATTGTCAATAAGTAAAATAAACTCATTAACATGCCATGCACAATATCTATACCAACATTATGCTATCAATGTTGGGAAATGCAATGAGATTAATAAATGTACAGATATTGATTAGCACTCATAGTAGATAAAAATGGAGGAGGCACAAATGGACAGTTAACAGAGGGATGAACTTATGATTTGACTGGCAGTTTTCTGTCTTTTCAGATGATACATGGAGGGTAAGTGTGACCTGTAGAAACCCCCTGCATGCAACATAGCCTGGGCAATTTTAGACAGATCATTTGTTGCCCATGCATTCTGATCTATCTTTCAGTCTGCTTTGTTTACTCCAAAGGAAATACCAATACATTTGTAACAAACCAGAATGCAAAAGCTGCTGGATCGCATCTAAGGAATAAGGGTTTAAAGCATACTCATTCCATTCCAAATATATATGCTATATGGAGATGAAGTCATGGAGAATGGGTTCAAACTCCCACCAAATTCAAATAATCAAATGGCACTTCAGTAAGAGCCCTGTCAGCTACATGTGTGCTATTCTCTTCTTTGTAAGACAACTGCTGTAACATAATGTGTATGTCCTGAATCTGAGTCTTCTAAATGTTTACAATTCAAAACAGAAATCCAACCTGGAAATATACTGCGGGTGAAATCATCCAGAACTGCGGCATCCAAAGGTTTTTCTATCTCTTGTTTGTCATCCACTTCCTCATCAGTCCTTTCTTCTTTAGTTTTGCCCTGCTTAAAACAAAAATACAAAGTAAATGATCATGAAAATACATTGCCACTGAGGACATAACCTCTCCAGTATCATCATCATAGCCAGCCAACACACGTCACACGAGGTTGCTGTGTCTGATTTCTTTAGCTTATTCTGTGTTGACACTTAAAAGGGAGGCTGGCATGTTGTTGCAGTTTACAGCTAGATTGTGATATCTGCATCTCTGAACACAAGACATCCAGTTTCAGCAAATCCTTAATCACCCTTTATGACAAGCTTGTTGAGAAGCAGTTTTCCCAAACTCAGGGCCCTGGAATCTGCACAGTGAGTTTCTTCTTCTAACTGCCTATACAACTCAATTACCAATTATAGTCACAGCTTATTCGCATGAATCCAGATCTTAGAATTAGGAAGGGCATTAGAACAAGACCCATTTCTCACTGTAGTCATTCTGTGAGTGTGTGGTCAGCGTTACATTCTACAACAGCTGGCATTCAATGGGTCATCTGGTCAGGACTATCCCAGCCAACTCTACTTCACTGGAAGATTCACTATTATGGACTATTATGCCCACACTAGAAAAGATCTAAAACACATGACCACAATGCTGGCAGGCAAGCAGGCTAGCCACTGTGGCCCAAAATAAAACATATTTAGATCAATCAAATCCCACCCCCCTCCCTCCCAATTTTTTTTAACTGACTATAAGAAATGACTATTTCTTTATCTGGTACGTTCTTCAAATGTAAAACTAACTGCTCCTTGTGGACATAAATCAAGCCTACAAAATGAAACACGGTGCAACTCTGTTACATCTAAACACATTTCTACACAACAAAAGTAACACAATGAGAAGTGCATGTTAATGAAAGCAGAACATCTGTACCTGATCAACTGGCATTCCTTCATTTTCTCCTAGAGACATGGCAATAGCTCTCATCATTTGATCTTCATCGTTCAAATCCAGATCCATGGATCCAGCCATTGCCTGTAAGTGATTCAAGCCAGCAAAATTTACTCATTCTGCAAAGTCATTTTTAATTATGTGAAACTGAACATTCTCAAGTAGATTATTTAATTTTAATGTGCACTAGGGTAACCTAAAAACAGTGACTAATGCAGCACATGTTTTTTTAAATTTTTTTTTAGGTTTATATCACAGGAAACTCATGATATTCTTCCTGGTGATCACTGTCCTCCACAAGCATCTGTGTTTCTGACCAGTGAATGTTTTCCATGCCACTCTGACAGCCCCTCTAGAGTTTTTTAACACTGACCAGTGAATGTTTTCCATGCCACTCTGACAGTCCCTCCAGAGTTTTTTAACACTGACCAGTGAATATTTTCCATGCCCCTCTGACAGCCCCTCTAGAGTTTTTTAACACTGACCAGTGAATGTTTTTCGTGGCACTCTGACAGCCACTCAAGAGTTTTTTTAATACTGACCAATGAATGTTTTCCGTGCCACTCTAACAGCCCCTCCAGAGTTTTTTTTTAACACTGACCAGTGAATGTTTTCTGTGCCACTCTGACAGCCCCTCTAGAGTTTTTTCAACACTGACCAGTGAATGTTTTCCGTGGCACTCTGACAGCCCCTCCAGAGTTTTTCAATACTGATCAGTGAATGTTTTCCGTGGCACTCTGACAGCCCCTCAAGAGTTTTCTAACACTGACCAGTTAATGTTTTCCGTGGCACTCTGACAGCCCCTCCAGAGTTTTTCAATACTGACCAGTGAATGTTTTCCGTGGCACTCTGACAGCCCCTCAAGAGTTTTCTAACACTGACCAGTGAATGTTTTCCGTGGCACTCTGACAGCCCCTCCAGAGTTTTTCAATACTGACCAGTGAATGTTTTCCGTGGCACTCTGACAGCCCCTCAAGAGTTTTCTAACACTGACCAGCCTATAAAATCTGTTGCTTTTTTCCTGATGATCACAAATTCTCTCTGCATATGATGTGACTAAGCAAATACGTCTTATCCTGATGTGTGTATCCTTTGTCTTGAGAATTTGCTTATTGCCATTTTCCAAACACAAGGGACAGTTTCAACAAAGCCTGTCTCCTCAAGGCTAAAACATGTAACGTACACTGTCTTATGTATTCACAAAGAAAGAAAATGTGTTATTTGCTTAATTTTTTTTTTACACATTTAGTTCCATGATTTTGAGGAACATCTTAACCCTTCCCCCGCTGGAAGCACGGGAAGCAATGTACGCAGCTCTTCCTTCATGGCCCCATTTCTGTTTATGCCTTGGAACTGGCCTTTTTTGCAATCACCTGTTTCTGAGAAGCCCAGTTTAATGTAGTTAGTTCTGTTCACTCCTGTGTAGCTTTTAGTAGACCCAGATACAATATTTTAACTAAAAATATCATTTGTGGAAAGGGATGGAGGGGTTTTGAACTAAACGGCTATGTAAAAATTATACTGACACACAAAATGTCCGATACAGTCACTGCTAAAAGTCATGCTATGAGTCACCTGATACATTTTTCAGACCCAGAGAAATGTTTTCCATTGAATGCTTTACTAGGTTTATGTTTATTCTTTATTTCCGTATATATTTTCATATATTTCCCGGAAGGAGTGGGAATTACAAATGTAAAAAAAAAATTTTTTTTAATATTTTTGTTAATTTATTTATTAATTAGTGACCTGTGTTGAATTTTTTTTTTCCAAGATATTTTTTGTAAACTATTTTCTTGTGGGTTCCTGGCCTATTTTAAAAATGGTTTCCAAAGTGAAAGGGTTGGTCTTGTTAGTAAGAAATGTTACCTATAAGGATATTATTTTGTACATAATGCATTAGTTTTCTTAAAGGTTTTTAAGTATAAATGTACGGAAGCTTTGGAACAGCCAGTACAATTCTTTTCAGCTACATATTTGAAGACAAGCATTTAAAGAAAAAACAAAATAATAAATGTCCTACATTCTGGGAGGCTGGAGGAAATGGATTGGTCAAGATGTAGTCTGTTGCCTGCTCCAAGCTGCTGGTGTTTGTCAGAGCCACTGTTGCTTGTTCTCGTGTGAATCCCATATCCACCAACTGGTCAAAATAATATCATACAACATTATGTTGAAGAAACTGATGAATATTAAACAGGGTGAATTCAAGAAAGTTGAAGACATCAGGGAAGCATCTGGAGAACTGTGAGTATCAACAGTTATCAGAGAAAGTAGTTTCTATTCATAAATATATGTATGTATACATATAGAATAGAAAATAAAATAGGGAGACAAATCTAGGGAATAGGGTGGATAGTTGAGAAAAACACTTGATTTAGGGCCAAACATTTCTGTTTTGATGACTTCTTTTGGGTACTCAAACCGCTGATGTTTTTGGTCATCAGACAAGGAATGCGATACAAACGTGGCAACATTTTAGGAATGGTCTCTCTATTAACACCCAATTTTTCTGCCATCATCCTGACAGTAAAACAGCGATCTTCTTGTATCCGTTCTGACTTTTGCATGAGTTCATCCTTATAAACAGAATTGGGTGTCCAGGTCTAGTTGCATTAGTAACCATCTCCACACCACTTTTAAATCGTGAATACCACCTGAAAATCTGTGCACGAGATGAACAATTATCTCCATAAACTTGTCACATCAATTCAACTATCTCAATGGCGATTTTTCTGAGTTTTAAAACATAATTTAATGTTAGCTTTTTGCTTGGTACTTATTACGTAACAATGCACCTCTGACTAGGTCAACAAAATGGTGGCCTGTTTGTTGTCTGCTTATCAGGTGGCGATGACAAGTTGCTAATTCATAGACAACGGCTGCCTCTTTGGATTCCATGCTTTGTTTCACAGATGGCATTTTTGTCTTGGGCATAAAAAAGGCTCAGGTGGTTGCGTCACACCTGGAGAATGGAGGATGGCAGAGTCCCTAAGGACATCCTTTATCCTGAACTAAATACGGAAGAAGAATTAAAACATGTCCACTCTTCACTCAACAAGCTTAGTGCTGCCAACTTGTGCTGATTAGTGTTCTCACCTGCTGCAGATGTGCCTGGTTGATCGTGGACTCCGGAGGTCTCCTGGCTGTTACAGCACTGCCACTAGCAACCACACTGCTGCTGCTGCCAGCGGCCTGGCCTACAGCACTGGCTCCAGTCAGGTCCACAGCTGTGTCCCCGCTTAATCCACCGGATGCAGTCAGTTTATCCTTTTCTAATTGTTTCTGTAGGTAAAAAAATCATGAAAACTCAAGTTCATTGAAGGAAAAAAATGAAACTTGTTAAAACACTAATGGGGTGCTGCTGTAGAACTGTAGCTAGATGCTCGCATGCTTTAGCCTGAAGGTGCTGGGCTTCAATCAGCATCACAGCTGATGGTTTTTTTTTCTTCTTTTTTTTCAAATGACTTTGGCTACCCATCAAAGATGCAAACAGCAGTGAATGAAGAGTGAGAAGCAACAATGAAATTCATAATCTGTTTAAATCACCACTGATCACTGGCTTCATGAGAGTTAATAAACTGAAATGGTTGGGGCATACTGAGAGAATGTCACATGACAAAGAGGTAAAAACTGTATACACAAGGGAGATGAATGGTCGTACACCACGAGGTAGACCAAGAAGACGATGGAGAAATAATATCCAGACAGACCTGCAAACACTTGGTGTCACCAACTGGAAAGAGAGGGCCAACCAGAGAAATGAATGGAGGCGGGTGATATCTGCAGCAATTAACCTCAAGGCCTCGGAATGCTGAAGACGACGACGACTTAGGCTGCCAGATCAACCCAGCCTAATGGGTAGCAGGTAATAATCCTGTAAAGTAAAGAAGGCTGGTATGATGATGACCACATCACCCACCGAGTGCTAATGGTCTGTTTAAAAAAATAAGTCTTGTATTATGGGCCAGATCAGTCACAAGCATAAAAAAGGCCTTTAAAAAAATTTTTTTTTTAATTCTGTTTTCTTTGCATTCTCTGGCTGTAAACTCCAACACAAAGTGCTGTTTTTTTTTGTCCACCTTCAACTTTTGTTTTGTTCCAGAACGTGAGTTATACTTATTTGTACTCAGACTGCTGGTTCCTAGCCTCCCGGGCAGAAGCACTCCGACTTCAAAGCCCGTCCCCAATTAGTGGACCCTTTCAACATGCTTGCTAGGAAGGCAGTGGGTTTATTCTTGTATCCCCACAATGGGGTGCGGAACCCATACAGGGATTCTACAGTTTTTTAAAAAAAAAACCTCAAGAAAATTTTTGTTAAGTTCAACTCAGTTAAAAGGGTACCTATCATAAAAGTAAACACAGACACATCTTGTAATCCTCAAACTGTATCTAGGTCAAGTCTCTTCTTCTTTGCATTCACTTTCTGTAAACTCAGGCGGAAAATGTGGGTAGTTCGACCATTCCTAGACCCTCGTCCTGATCCAGAATTTTAGTTTTGCGTGCACATTTGTTTTGCAAATCTGGAATGTGTATACAGACTGCTGGTTCCTTGCCCCAGTTAGGGGAGCAGTGGGTCTATGTTTTCCCAAAATTAGATCCCATGTAGCCAAATCTATCTGACACCTCACATGCTGATGAGAACAATAAACGTCCTGGATCTAATGATGCTGGCATCTATCAATACTTCAGGGTTTGCTTTCTTCTTTATGCATAATATTCTCAACTCTTCTCATTATGCACAGTACAGCATTCACATGTGTTACAGAACACTACATTCACCTTTTCAATGAGCTGACTTCTCTTTACATGTACTACTATTGTTTTTCATGATTTACTCATCCAAGTAATCCCTTTCTTATGTTCTGTGTCACATCCTCCATCAGTTGTCACTGTAGTCTACCTAGATGATGATTAGTTAATTCAAAATTATGTAATTCTTCAAACTCAAATATCCCGGTTATGTATCAGAAAATGCTTTGGTGTGACATTATCTTGTAGAGGTAGACTGGTCTGTGTACTCCATTTTGAAGAGGTAGAGGGATCTGCAAATGCCCCCCCCCCCTCCCCCAGGGAGGAAAGAGATTCTCTATTTCTATATTAGTATACAGAATATTACAGGCAGTGATTACGTCTCTGGATCTGTAGCATCTTCCTTACCTTAATGATTTCCTCTCCACCAATAATATGACTCAGAATTGTCAGCATTGACTCAGACATCCGGCTGCCATGGACAGGCAATGGCTTCTTATTCCATAGGTTCATCACAGCACTGAATGCTGCCTGTTGATTTGACATACATACAAATAATCACCTGTTCTTACAATTACAGAGATGTTTTATTCACATGCTTCACTTAAAACACAACAATACTGTGTCTGTGTGTGCATAAATATGTCCAGATATTTACATATAAATTATACAGGTGCCATGATAGCATAGTGGCTAGGTGTTCGCATGCCAGCCTGAAGATTCTTGGTTCAAATCCACACAGAGGCACAAAAATTTCAAAACAGACCTTAGCTCCCAGGCTGACCCAGTCTTAAATGGGTACCAGGTAATGCCCTTAGAAGTAAAGGTCACTGGCTGGATTTATTGACCTCATCACCCACTGAGTGCCGTCTAGTCTATAAAAATATGAGTCCAGCATCATCTGCCCAATGCACTACTGGCGTACAATGCATCCTTTACTTTACACACAAATTATGTTTAGGTCCTGTTACATTTACTTTACACACAAATTATGTTCAGGTCCTGTTACATTTACTTTACACACAATGCCATACATTTACTATAACACAATATGTTTAGGTCCAGCATCATTTACTTTACCACAATTATATTTAGGTCTACATGGCTTTACAATGCAGGTCCTGTTTTACTTTACACACAAATTATGTTTAGGTCCTGTTACATTTACTTATGTTTAGTTGTTACATTATAGGTCTTTACTTTACACACAAATTATGTTTAGGTCCTGTTACATTTACTTTACACACAAATTATGTTTAGGTCTTGTTACATTTACTTTACACACAAATTATGTTTAGGTCTTGTTACATTTACTTTACACACAAATTATGTTTAGGTCCTGTTACATTTACTTTACACACAAATTATGTTTAGGTCCTGTTACATTTACTTTACATACAAATTATGTTTAGGTCTTGTTACATTTACTTTACACACAAATTATGTTTAGGTCCTGTTACATTTACTTTACATACAAATTATGTTAAGGTCTTGTTACATTTACTTTACACACAAATTATGTTTAGGTCTTGTTACATTTACTTTACACACAAATTATGTTTAGGTCCTGTTACATTTACTTTACACACAAATTATGTTACCTGTTACATTTACTTTACACACAAATTACTTTGTTACATTTACTTTACACACAAATTATGTTTAGGTCTTGTTACATTTACTTTACACACACAATTAGGTCACACTTTACACACAAATGTTTATGTTTAGGTCTTGTTACATTTACTTTACACACAAATTGTTTACACACTTTACAAATTATTTTAGGTTGTTACATTTACTTTACACACAAATTATGTTTAGGTCTTGTTACATTTACTTTACACACAAATTATGTTTAGGTCCTGTTACATTTACTTTACACACAAATTAGGTGTTTTTAGTTTAGGTCTGTTACATTTACTTTACACACAAATTATGTTTAGGTCCTGTTACATTTACTTTACACACAAATTATGTTTAGGTCCTTTACATTACTTTACACACAAATTATGTTTAGGTCTTTACACACACAATTATGTTTAGGTGTTTAGTTTAGTCTTGTTACATTTACTTTACACACAAATTATGTTTAGGTCTTGTTACATTTACTTTACACACAAATTTTTTTAGGTCTTGTTAAAACTCTTTAAGGCAGAGCTTGCTGTACAGCACAGCTATTCAATCGGGACCAGTGGGCCAAATCTGTTGGCTCGCAAATCACATACCAACTGTAGTGTAGTAATGATTTTTCTACGCTGGTCTGTCAAGATCCCCTTTTTCAACATGAGGGCCCCAGAGAAAACTTAGCTGAATGGCTGTGCTATATAGTATCATATTTATATATAAATATCCTCTCTGGTAGCATTCTGCAAGGATGGTGATGGTGAATCTCAAGCTGTGGGGCAGAATTCCCTATTACTCATTCAGTCCCAGGCAACTCACCATGCATTTGTTGAGCTCTCTTAATATTATATACTATACTCAACCCTCTCTCCTCCATCAGTAGCAATGTTAACTTACTCTGTCTCAGCTGTTGCTTTATATCCTTCTGTCTCATTGTTTTATCATTTATCTACTTCAGACTCAAATGTTTATTATTTAAACATAATATATTAGGAAATAATGCAATTAAGTAGCATCAAATCAGGGACTCAAAAAAGAGTTCACAGGACTGAAAAGAGATCACTGTTTTCACAAACTAGTAAACCTGTTAATTATGCACAAGTGCTACATTCGTGAATGTAAAAGCCTTACCTTTTGTGTTGTAATGAGGTACTGTACGGGATTAAATGGAGTCAGGCCAGCTGCCCTGCTCTTGGGAGGTAGAGTATGTGGTGACTCCAAAACTGTTTTTGGATTGACCATTTTCTCAACTAACGTCAACCATGAGTCTAGGAACTCCCCTGTTCCCTCTGAAAGATAGCAAATGACCAGTGAACATCTCAGGAGAAACGAGAATCAGGTTTTAGCAAATCTGTTTCTATAGTGAAATCTGAAGCGAAGTACTGTTCATCCTCAACAGTTAAAATTATAAACTTTTTTCACATATAAACTGAATGTTTTGCTTTGGGTGGATAAAGCAGTGCTCATACGTATAGAATGCAACTACGACTTCAGTGTATAATCTGCAAAGAGAAATAAGATTAGTGGGGAAAAAAACAGACAAGAAGAGAAATTAGCAGAAAAGGACAGATGGGTATTAGAAAGAGAAAGACAGAAAAGACACTGTGTGTGCATGCATGAGTGAGTGAGAGAGAGAGAGAGAGAGAGAGAGAGTGAGAGAGAGAGAGAGAGAGAGGAGAGAGAGAGAGAGGGGGGGGGGGGAGAGAGAGAGAGAGAGAGAAAGGGGGGGGGGAACAGCTGTGGAGATGAGCATGCAGATGAACAAAGAGGCAAGCAGTCAGGCAGACAAACAGATGAAAAAAGAATGAGACATAACCCTGGTAAATATGAGACAGAGAAAACCTGTCAGAGTAGTTACCTGGAAGGTCGGGGTGCTCAAGGCCTTCTGAGAGTGCCACTTTTCCATCCATTGACAGAGCCCATGAGAAAGAACTAACGAAGCAAAAAACAAATCATCCATGTAACATCCAATTTCAATACAAGACTGGGCTAAAAATGAATGTATATTATATAAATGGGCTAAAATTATTGCATTTCATAACACTGAGCTATAAATTAGTGTATATTACAACACTAGACTATAAATTAATGTGTCTGTGATTCTACTTTTATTTTCCCACTGGTGCATATGCTGATAAATTGATGTGTCTTGCATCTAAGTGTGAAACCATTCGGGAAGTACTGTGTGACCTACAGAAGTCTGCTTCTGACAAGTATTTTATATGCACTATAAATTGTGCCTGCACAAGAAGCAAGACACAGGTTTGTAACCCAGATCTCTGTGTGCTCTAAAAAAGAGATGCACTCACTTTGCTAAGGACCTTGAGTTTGACTCCATAGCAAGGTGGGTTTTTGTTTGGTTAAGAACTGATCTACAACTGCCAGGCCAAGCTAGCTGTAATGTGCACCAAGAAATGTACTGTGAAGTAAGGGCAGCTAGCATGATGTTGACCACAATTTGGGTCTAGCACATATGCTTAATGCACCAGTGACATAGAGAGGGTCCTTTACTTACCATCTGCCTAAGGTGTAATGATGTGACAAGGATCATTTATTTTACTTTTGACCTGACCCAGGTAGGGCCCACCTTCTAATATTGTATAGGGAAGTTATGTGCTGAAACAATCGTCAACAAAGTATCTTTCTACTGATAATCGGTGGACCCCTTCTGTGCATGCTCCCCTGTGGAGTTCTTCTTATTATTATACTTACAGTACAGACATGCTCTCAAACTATCTGTTCATGTTTATATTACTATTGTGAAGCACTAAACTATTTCCTTACATTTAACCATGCCACCCTCAGAACATAAAAAATAAGTTCATAAACCATGTGGAAATTCCCAAAAAAAAATAAAGTGCGCGCGTGTGTGTGGTTTTTTTTTTTGTTATCACTAGTAAAAAGGAAGTCTAGTTTGCAGCCGGAGCTACTGAGTTTAATGCTCCTGGCGGCAGGAGTTCCAGATTCGTACATAATGACAATGATGGGTGATGTATTTTTCTTCGTTGTGTTCCTGGGACAAGTCGTGTGCTACAGCTGCTATTTATGTGCTGGCCGTGGCTGCAACTTGGCTGAGGACTTGTGGAGAATGGTCAGAAATAGTTTTAATCTACTCATCGTCCAGCTATTCATCAAATGAAGTTGATTTTCAGCAATAAAGCGTGGTCTCGCAGTGTGTTTAAAGAGGCATGCACCTTATGATTTTCAAGATCAGATCGTGTGTGTTTTGCTGACTTAGGACACTTTGTATCTTCTTCTTCTTCACTTCCTCTTTTACCGCTGTGGGTGTCGAGGGAGATATAAGGTTCTGTTTCTAGCTCTTCTGGCTGCCTCGAGCATAGGCACATCGTGCTGTTGTAGAGTTTCTCTGATGTTATCCTTCCATCTTGTTCTTGGTCTACCCCGTGCTCTACGTCCTTCTCTTTCCATGTATGCTTTGTATGGTATGGTGTCACAAGGCATTCTCTCTAAGTGGGCAAACCATTTAACTTGCTGTCTTTGTATGTAATCCAGAATTTGGTTCTGTGCCGACTTGTTCTCTTATGATCTCATTCCTGATCTTGTCTCTTATGGTCACTCCTACAGACCTTCTCAGACATCTCATTTCCGTGGTTACTAATTTTCTTTTATGGTTTGTTGTGAGTGACCATGTCTGGCACTAGTAGCACAGAGTTGGAATAAATATGCTTTGAATAAGATGTCTTTGTGCTGATTGGGATTGTCTTATGCTGTAAGGCATTTACTTGAAGTATCCAGCGTATCTGACTCAGTCTGTGACTGGAATCACTTGCACAAGCGGTTGAGCAATTACGGGCCAAGCTCGTTGGCTGCGATGCCGAAACCGTAACGACTAACTTGCAACTTGTACAATATTTAAAAACCTGTTTATCCTAAAAAAAATCTGAAAAAATATATGTATCAGCTGGCTGGTGGCTCATGCCGTGAACCCTATCACTGGAAAATTAGATGTCAGCTTGGCTTTAAAAGAAAGAAGCTATCTGGTACACAAGGACCTCCACCCTAAACGCTAATTTGAGTAAATCAGTTAGTTAACATATGAAAGCAAATGATACAAAGGAACTGTAGAAGCGCAGTGGCTGTGCTGCCATCCCAATAATTTGAATAGGGCTACCAAGTCAGCCCAGACTATAATGGAAAAGTCCTAGAAAGTAAAGATGTCTAGTGCAAAGTGTAACAGCACCCACTGAGTGCTAGCTGGTCTTTATAAATATGTTTAGTCCTATATGCCTAATGCACTCAGGTTGTGAAAAGAGTTCTTTACTTCACTCACCTGTAATAGAGAGACACAAACTATTTCTTCTTGTATTTTCTGTACTATTGTGTACTCCTGCTGCACCTGTTATCTAACAAGTTCAAACACAGATCACTCAACAATGTCAACAAGTTCAAACACAGATCACTCAACAATGTCAACAAGTACACTTACTCAAAGAGTGCAGCTTGTCCACCACAAGCTACAAACTTCTGCAGCAGCAGATGATATGGCTGCTTCTTCTCATCAAACAACATGGGAGCTGTGAAGCCAGCTGCACACACCAAAAATGTCAGTCTGAGGAGAATAATGTCAGCAATAACCCCACAGCAAGACAATACACAGAGTATTCAAACATAAATGATCTCTTTCAGTGCGCACAAACGTCATCACACATGGCTCAGTCACCTCTGATAGATTTCACAAGAAGAATCTCAACACAGTGCATGAAGAAACCAAACATCTCTTATTTCAGAACCACAGGTGGTGTAAATACTTTTGGCATCAGACTTTCAAGCTGACATTTAGCCGGAACAGCAACCTATTCAGCTTATTGTTTTTGCATTGCCAAATACTGAGGTATTTTTTTTAAACTAACATATAGAGTTTCATAACTGTTCACTTTTGTCTCTGAAAAGACTAGATATTTGATCTACTGCTTAAGGATGAAAAGGGCTAAATTTCTTAATGCTTTTAAGTCCATAGTGAAATTTACACCCAGTCTGTTCAAGTTAGAGATTTCTCATACTTCTAAACCTTTTTCTTTTTTCTTCTTCTGTGTTAAATCATATGTCAAAAGCTGCAGCTAGCCCAATGTTCACTGATAAAGGTCCCCTCTGAAGCCACATCATCCGGGCCAACTTCCGGTTTTTAAAAAAAAAATGCCAGACACTTTCTGGGAGATAAAATAGTGATAAGATAATCCATCTTGTGTTGTTTGGGCACAAAAGTATTGGCCGGGAACAGATGAAATGGTTTAGCCATCTAACAGACTGGCAACAGACAAGGCACCACAAAGAGCAATGTTATACAGATACAGCGGTAACAGACCCAGAGGTCAAATATGCAAAATATGGACTGCAGAAATATCGGAAAACATTCAAAGTACTATATATGAAGTTAACAGATGATCCCATTCCAGCGATCTCTTCCTTCCATGACACTGTGATGCATTCCAGGGTAGAGAAAAACAAAAGAATGAACTGGATCCCTCACTATCTACCTTAATTCCTGTCTAAGAGTTCTAATAAACTTCTTACATCACCAAAATCATCAGTTTACACACACCTTTGCAGAGAAAACATTATTTGTAGGTTAAGATTCACAGAACTGTAGTGATTAAACTGGTAATTATAAGGAATTTCTTCTACCATATTACTATATACCTGTCATTCTTCCTACCATATTAAGACACTAACATGAAGTCTCTCTGTCGACTACAAATGATTATAAACTAACCCAAGAATGATGTGAACCTTTCCTAACACATACGGCATCTTCATCATCATCATTTGATATATCAATAAGCATGGATAATCATTGCTCTCATTTACACACACCATTAGTCTCACTTCCCTTGACTTATATCTGGAGTCTTTTAATCCTGGCTATGTTATCTGGCAAGGCCATCCAGGTTTTCATTGCCTTTACCCCCCCCCCCCCCTCTGTTCTTTCCTTATGAAGTAGGCCTGCTACCACTAGGTTTTCACATTTGTTTCTCCCCTTAGCATCCCCAAATAACCATGGCTTCTTCTTTCTACACCCTAAACATCAACTTGAATATATGTAAGGAAAGCAGCAGATTTAATCAATTTTCAGCTTTCACTAATCCCTTACAAAAATACTAATTTTTTTTTCATATGCCTAAATTGATATTTTACAACTCACACAGTAAAGTCTTCTGATAAAGTAACTGTGAAGGCTACATCTGAAAACCTGGACATGACACACACGTACCTTAGTTTTGGTTGTGGTGCACAAGCAGGGGGCTGGAAAGACAGTCCACCAGCAAGCAACTTTGTCAGAGCTAAGGCAACAGCTCTAGCCTGTGGTGAGGGTACAGGAGGCGTTGGTGGAGGCTGCTGGGATCTGCGCTGTCGAACTGGTGATCCTACACACAGCTTCACCAGCAATGCAAACAGTTCAGACAGAGCTCTTCCCAAGCGGGAAGACAGAGACAAGAGGGGTTTCAGCTGTCTTAACTGAGCCTGCATAGCTGGAGACACTTTCTTTTTGGCATCCTTCTCATCAGACAGACCTGCTCCAATCCTCAGAGGAAGAACATCTGACTCAATGGAAGTTGAAGATGCTGATGTAGTTACAGCTGCTGCTAGCTGGGTATTCAAGGCCTGTCCTATTTCTTGCAAGTTCTCAACCTGAGCTCCCAGACCAGCACCAATGGGCTGATTTGAGTGTGGCATTGGTTCTGAGGTGTCCATACCTTCAAGGCCAGTTGTCAAAGTTTCCATAGCAACACTGACATTGTTACTTCCATTCTCTCCAAAAGCACCTGCCAACCTCCTGACATCCAAGGTCTTTCCACTGGCAGTTGATTTTTCATCAGCTCCCTTTCCTGCCTCCCCTTCCATAGTGTCTCCCTTTTCTCGAGCATCCTTGTTCTGCAGTTTCTCTAAATCGGCACGCCCAAATGGACAGTCGGTGGGCAGGTAATCTTCATTACACAATGCCAGCAACACTGTGCTTTCCCACACCAGAGAGTTGTACAAGCGACTCAAGCCTTTCAGTACCTCCAAGCCCAGATCAGAGCCCCAGTTGTTCACTGACAAGGTTCTGATATCAGTCTGTGGATATAAACAGTGATACACCATACTTTACCCATCAGCAGTTTTACAATGGCTTTTAATATGGAATAATAAAGCAGTTAACTTCAACTACTATTTACACAAGCCAGCAACTTCTGGCTGATATTAACGATCATTATTTACTGACTGTCATATCAAGCTTACATAAATCTCTTTTTGTATGTATCACAAGCTCGTTCCTCGTTAATCATCAAACACCCACAGTAATGTCTACTAGATCTTTATCCACACACTTCTCTTTTAAATATATTATTAATTTTGCCTATATTTTATTTTCAAATACATTAAGCCTGTCAGTCCCAATTTCATGACAGAAAAATATACTAACTTTTTTTTTTAAAGTTATCATTTATTACTTTCAAAGACCGGACATTTAATTTTCCGTATAATACAATATCCATTTACATGTTTTGATGTTCAGGCCAAATACAAAAGATACAACAGGCCACATGTTGCTTGAAACAAAAACAAGGTCAATATCTCGGTGCACTGTGTGGAATAGAAAGACTGAATCAGTGTTTCCATTATTAAAATATCCAAAGCAACCATTTACCTGGCCCATGCGGCACACATAGACAAACATCATGATGTAGGCATGGACAGCAGCCAGAGCATGAAGTAAGGGTGTGGCAGTTGATGACAGTGTAGCATCTGGAATATGAGCACAGCTGGCCAGCTCATGCAGGAGAACAGACCCTCCCGGAGGGTCCAATGGCTTATGTAATGGTTCTAGTCGTTGAAGGACTTCATGCATTTGCAGCAATCCCTGTTTCATCACTTCTGACTCTCGGGACAGTGTCTGTAAGAATTTGTAAGTAAGATTTAAAATTTGTTTTAGCTGTTCTGGCAATATCCAACTAATTCATTCACATTTATGTAAGTATGAGAGGAACCAAAATAATACAACTGGAACTACTTTCATACCTGACATAATACAGAAAGTATATATATATATACACTGAATTTTTTTTTTATGAGATTAATAGCACAGACTGCCAACGGCGGGTACATCTGGTCAGAGACTTCTCTCTTTTTCTGTGGTCACTGGCTGTGAATGATAGCAGAAAGTCCTGGCTGCTTGTCTATACCTGGACTTTGGTCTTGTTCTAGGACTTCAGTGTTGAATGCACAGATGCTTACAGATATGAGTTGGATTATCTTCACAGCACTTCAAACACATCCATAGGTGCTCAGATCCCCCCTTCAACATATTCAACAGCGCTGCGTGGGTAATAGTGCCAGTCCTATGCTAGTTGACAAGACTGTGCGTCCAGTGTGCTTCTCATGCTTAGTTGTGCCGATCTTTACTTCCAGTTCTCATATTCTTAGCAGTGATGTGGATAAGCTGCTTCCAAAATCCTCAGAATGTCCTCTCTCTAAGGGCATTGACAATGTCTGTGCGATCCATGGGCCGGCCATCTGCAATTAATGCAGAACCAATGCATGGTTAACTGTATGCAGACTATTGGCTCCTCACCTCTCAGGCTACTGCACTCTTTCCAAAACTTGTACTCCTTAGAGCATCTGGTAATCAACACACTGGGTTTAAAGTATTTCTTTTATAAATGTACTGCCCTAGCTATAAATGTACTGCCCTAGCTATAAATCAATAGCTCCTGTTAATATTACTTTAACTTTATCTGTCCCAGACATACTTTTAAAACAAATAGTAAAATGTACTTGGAATCAATCAACTAAACTGGAAATATAGAGTTAAATACATACCAACACCGATTTGCACACGTTAGACACTGCCTGGCAGGCTGGGGATGTTGGGAAGTCTATAGGCAAATTTGGCAAGCCCAGGATGCTCATTAATGGAATTAGGCCTTTCTGAGCCACAAATTCCCTGCAATGGTCATCTGTAGAATTGTTGCTTAGAATGGCTTCTACAAATTTCATCTGTGAAAGTATACAGTTGAAAGAGGCTTTAAAACATCTTTCAGTTCAGCAAGTGTATCACTGCAAATATTTCAGACTTGTAACTGATAGTATTAACTCCCTACACACAGCGGGCTATTTCAAACAGCAAACACTGATTGATAAGCAAAAATGTCATAATATGTTTAAATCACCACTGATCATTGACATCATGAGGGCTAAAAGACAAATGGCTGGGGCATATGGAGAGAATGTCAGAGGTAAAAACTGTATACACAGTGGAGATGAATGGTCATAGATCACGAGGCAGACCAAGAAGACGATGGAAAGAAAATATCCAGACAGACCTACAAACACTTGGTGTCACTAAATGGAAAGAAAGACCAACCAAAGAGATGAGCGGAGGCGGGTGATATCTGCAACAATGAATCTCAAGAGCTCGGAATGCTGAAGAAGAAGAACTTTGGGCTGTGTATGTATATTACATAGAGGACCAATTCACGCCTTAAGGTGAATACACTATAGTGCTAGCCCAATGTTTTTATAAACAAATCAATGTTTGCCTTTTAAAGGAAACCCCGGACTACCTGGGAGGCATACCTCCACACACACACACCTATAGCTGGCATACACAGATGTAGCTCTCAAAGAATGTGCTATCAGTGTTCAGGGAAATATGGACCCAAATGCTGTACTCAAGTGAGCTGAGCTGATACAGCATTGGACTTATCTAAGTGGTCACAAAAAAGTTGCCACAAGATTCAAGACAACATTTTACTGCACAACATGTCTGTAAATGTGAACAGATTAAAAAAATAACGCTACTTCCATATTACAGTTTTCAGTATCAAATGAATTCCAACACCTACCAACAAATGCGTAAATATTTTTTTTTAAACCAAAATCAATCAGTTAAACAAATATTTTGCTGCAATGAATTTTATTCTCCCAATTTCACCTTTATCCACCTCTAGCTTATTTGCCTTTAACTATTCCCTCCAGTAAAATTGAATTTTTTTTTTAAATCCAAGTTATGTTTTACTTTCAATATCTCGTTCCAAAACGTTTTATTTGATAATTTTTGTTTCCATTACACACAATGTATTCTTCTGTATATCCTTATCCCCACAGGCTCAGTTCAATTTTCTCATTGTCTGCTCATTGTCCCAGTTTGTGTGCCTCACAGTATGGTTAAGTACATCTATGGCTAGCACACAAATAAACACATATAAGTAAATACTGACAATGTAGCTCACAAAATATGTGCTACTGGTGTTCACAGAAATGGCAACAACCATCAGGCACTCCAGTGAGCTGTTTGTTATTGCATTGTTTTATCTTGGGGTCACAAGAGTGTTTCCCCAAGGTTCAAGACAATGCTAGCAATACACAAGTCAATCATGCTTATTAAATCTGAACACACATTTTGAAAATTTAAAAATTCCGCTGCCAGAAAAAAAGGTACCAGGGTGTACTTTTTTTTTTCTGGTTTAACCTCACTCACACATGATTGCACATACATACATTCATACATAAAAGTTAAGGTCCCTTTTCCACGCCTTTAGATGTATTGGGAATATAGGGCTAGACCTGTATTTTTATAGACCAATCAGCACTTGGTGGGTCATGTGGCTAGCATCACAACGGCCGCCTTAACTTCCCAGGACTGCACCTTGTATCCACTTAAGGTTGGGTCAACCTGGGAGTCAAGGTTAATTTTAGAAGAAAAGCTTGGCTCTGCCAGAACGCAAACCCACAACCTTCTGATCCGCCAACACCACAGCGACTACATACATATATACACACATTATAGGACCCTCTGTTTCCTTCCAAAAAAAATACCTCATAAAACAGACAATCAGGAGTGGTGTTATCAAACAGTAATTGCAAAAAAACATTTAAATTTTATTTTGCAATTACCACCATTGTATAATTAACACCAGCTGAATGACTTGAAAGAAAACACAAGAGAGAAATCAACAAGATAGAAAAAGCAGATTCTAGAAATCAGAAAATGTAATGCTTAACAATGAAGGAAGAATTACAAGGTAACTCACCACATTTAAAACATAGTCCATGAGAGGTATAGCTTGTCTTTCTGGTATTCTGAAAAACAGTCACAGTACAGACTATTTTATCTATGCCATGAAACAACATTTATTTCCTTTCTTTCACCTTCTATCCTACTATATTAAATATTGCAATTTATTTTAATTTCATATTATAAGCATTAAGTCATTAGTATAATGCAGTTTATACATATAAGGTAATGTCAATCATTTACTGATGATTTGTATCTCTCTCAACAATACTATCTAAAAAATATTCAATTATTCAAAACAATAAAAATTCAAGCATTAATCACATCACACTGCAGAAAAACCTGGCAATAGGTAAACATTAATGCTGAAATCAGGGACACTTGAAATGCTTGTTTGAAAGATATGATGAAAGAGTGACATACTCAGCAGTGTCCTGCTGTGATGTTGTGGGGACCTGAGGCTTGGCCTCTGGAGCAGTGATGTGAGCTGCACCTGTGATAGATGCAGGCATGTGTGGCATCTCAACCTCTTCATCTTCCTCCTCATCTGATGAGCTGGCTTCGTTGGATTGTGGGGACCTCACACTGGAGGTCTGGGCTGCAGCTTGATCTGATTTTGGCTGCTGTTTCTGACAAATGAAGTGTGGATCGTGGCCCATGGAGCAGATCTCTTCCAGCAACTGTCAACACATTGTAAAGTCCATAAGTACCAACAAACTCACAGAGCATCTATTGATAACTCTATGTAGGTATACATTTCTACATTTATTATGGTGTTCTATTTACAGTATCTATGCTCTAAACATTTTTACTTTACCTCATTTATTTCTCATTATTTCATTATTTTAAACCATTTACACTCTAAAATGGATTCTCTAAATCAGTGGCTCTTAACCTAATGCCGCAACCATTTAATACAGTTCCTCATGTTGTGGTGACCCCCAAACATATAATTATTTTGATTGCTACTTCATAACTTCAATGAATATGTGTTTTCCGATGGTCTTTGGCGACCCCTGTGAAAGGGTCATTCCACCCAAAAAAGGTTTTTTTTTTTAAATCAAAAAAAGGTTGCGGCCCACAGGTTGAGAACGGCTGCTCTAAATAAACTACAACTACAGACTGTTACGGATTACTAAGCACCTGCAACTGAAAGAGTTAATATCTAAATTAACATTATAAATCTACTAATCAATCTATCCTCACTCAGTGACAAAACAGCAATACTTCTCGAAGGGCGCAGGAGTTTGGTAAAGGGTTTTCTAATTTTTACTAATATGATATTATAAGTTGTGAAAGAGAGGATATTTGAAATATGTAATCAGTACAAAATTAAATATCCTATGACACTCGGCAGAAAATATCCCACTGACAAATACTGGCCCAAACAACAAGTTTTCCAACCTTAAAGAGCTCCTCTGTAATTGCGATAGTATATATTTTGGATCAATACTTTCACAGTTAAAAGGACAAATAAAGAGAAGTCCTGTTGGGGGCAAATAGCAAGCAAAAAGGTCCTTACCTAATCTACTATACAGTATTCATTTAAATTATTATTAGAGGAATGTATTTGTACCAGAAACCTACCAGTCGGCGCTTCTAATCATCTTCCTAATTGTATGCAACACAGAGATCCTAGGTTTGCAGATAGCTAGTGTTAACTGTTATCACCATGTGAAATCAAGTCATTTTAAGACTTAAGGTACAATTAATGGAAAAAATAGACAAACCTTAATAATTGCCTTTGTGGCATCAGTCCTCAAAGATGGCTGGTGTCTCATTAGTTCATCCATAGCATTTCCCAAATTGCTGGCTGTATCCCCTGTATGTGAAATATATTATCACTACATGACCACCTGTGTACAATATGCTATTTAACAACTACAACAAGTGCAGTGACAGGTGTGTAACCTGCCAGCCAAACAATCTTGTGTGATGTGCTGTAATTCCTTTGCGAGGCCTCAGCATTTTACAGGTGAAATACTAATTGTAGTCTGAACACTGCATGAAAACTGCCTGAGCAAGCTTGCTTCGAAAACTGCCTGAGCAAGCTTGCTTCGAAAACTGCCTGAGCAAGCTTGCTTCGAAAACTGCCTGAGCAAGCTTGCTTCGAAAACTGCCTGAGCAAGCTTGCTTCGAAAACTGCCTGAGCAAGCTTGCATGAAAACTGCCTGAGCAAGCTTGCTTCCTCCACCCAGACTCTAGCAATGCTACAAATGTTTATTTTACTTGAAAAACAAATTGTTTATATTATAGATAGAAAGGGTTTTGAATCCCTAACTCGGCAAACTGAAGAAATAATAAATAATAAAGAGCAAAGAGCAATTCCACACATAAAATGGAGTGATGGTATCAGGAAAAAGAAGTGAAGACCACAGAGTGTATTAAAAGAGCACACAGAAGATCTTCCTCCCCCCCCACCCCCCCCTCTTTCTGAGTGAGGGTAAATGCAGGAACAGAAGAATACCTGCTAAATATGGCAAAGGTACATTTTGTTTATGACAATGTTGCTGAATACTCTATGAAGTAACTCACCAAAGGGGTCCGAGCTTCGTCGTCTTCTCATTGCTGGCAGGTAGTCAGGTGAAAGCAAGACCTTAAAGAGTCTATCAAATGGCTTGCATGCCACGAAGGCTTCCAGACCACGGGCATTGAGACACAGTGCACTGAAGACATTAGGTAATGAGGCCAGAACCTCTCTTGTTGCAGGTACCTTTTGGGGGAAAGTTAAATTGAAGTTTCATTTATTTCATATTGCATGCATGTGACCATTCACTAAAGATATGAGTTATGCTATTCAGTAAACCCCCCACCCCTAAACCTACTTTATAGAAAGTGTAATCAATGTATGTATATTTATAACACACTCACAAATATATAATTAAGTAAAAAAGACACAGCTTTAATTGCTGAGAAGGAGGAATAGTGAAGTATTTAGATCTGAGCAACAAGAGACATTCAACATCAAAGACAACCAATATGTTGCTTACGTCCTTTATCAGCAAAGCATACAAAACCACATCTGTGAGTCCCTTGTCTTGTAAAGAAGACAACAGTGATGGTTCTTGAAAGACATAAACTGTCACTACATCAGTAGCTAAAAAAAATGAAGAACAAATTCATATAAAATATTATTACATGTGTAATTAAGACGGCATTTCTAGTAGTTAGTCGAAAACTGTCAGTTTACATGTAAAGGAAAAATCATTATGAGTGCACTTCTAGCACAGAGAGAAATCAGTATAAATGTTCTGTAAAATATTTCATTGTAACCACAGCATTTACATGCCAATGTTTAATTCTTATTCTTCTGCAGCCCATCCAGCTTAAAAAGGGAGGTGGAGGCAGTCACTGCAGCTTTCCGATGTTACATCGTGATTGTTACTGACTCAGAAAGCATGCTGATCAGGACAGGCATGCTTCGCGCAGAGTGGCATGCTTTACTGCGGAGGACACGGGTAAGGAGTATTGTCTGGATTTGTTCACCAGGATATGCTGGTGTGTTGGGAAATGAACAGGAGGCGGACAGGCTGGTTGGCTCCACACAACTTTGTGGAATACTGATGCATGATAAGGCAGACATGGTTAGTGCCTTGTGGGAGAGCGTGTACAGTTAGGAGGAGCAGATGGATTACCAGTCTGGTGAGACTGATGCAGGGGGAGTGACGAAGATGTTCTGGCAGATGCTCGAGGCTCAGAGAAAAGGCAAGACGGATGTTTGATCAAAATGCTACTGGCACCATTTGTATCGGAACTCTTCAACGGCTGCTGAAGATGGGGACGGAGAGCTTATGGGAATACCCCATATGCTGTGATGTCGGTTCTTAATCAACTCAACAGCAACTAAACTCTTCTGTAACCCATGTCAGGAAAAAAAATTCTGAAAAGACATACAAAAAAGGGTATCTATACTTAAACTGACTCAAAAGACTTCGATGAAGTTACAGTAATATCTGTCACCTCAATTCAACAGGTTTAACTCCTTGCAGTTGAAATAAACATATCTTGTTCCAACATCAACAATGACAAATGAACAGCTGACTTAGCAGCTACCAATGATGACTAGCATGCTTGGTATTTTTTATCCATATCTGGTAACATCCAAGTTAACTATGGCGTGGCCAAGCTATGTGACTTAAGTCTTCTCATCAATGACAAATGAACACAAGCAGACTTACCAAGCAGGAACAATGAAGGTCCGTAGTATTCAGCATTACTTATTATGTGCTTCAATGATTTAGGCAGGGAGCCATCCATTACTGAAATTAGTTTTAAAAACAAGAGTATTTTGGGAATGGTAATAAAATATGGTGGGGGGTGGGGGGGGGGGGTGGTGGTTGTCTCTTGCTACTGTCACTTAATATCAATGATGTCTGGGGGTAGCCTTTTTGCGTGGAGTAAATTCTTGTCCACTTTGTACCCATGTGTTGATGTAAACATACAGGATCTGATCTATCTTCCTCATACAATGTATCCTCCACAAATATCCTTCCAGAGCCACTGTATATGACCAGTAGCTGACAAAAGACAATTTTCGTCAATTCAAGTTTTGCTGAGGAAAACAAATTCTTCATGTCTATAGCGAGAAAAGAAGCACCAAGAGAACTGAGGAAAACAAATTCTTCATGTCTATGGCGAGAAAAGAAGTACCAAGAGAACTGAGGAAAACAAATTCTTCATGTCTATGGCGAGAAAAGAAGTACCAAGAGAACTGAGGAAAACAAATTCTTCATGTCTATAGCGAGAAAAGAAGTACCAAGAGAATTGAGGAAAACAAATTCTTCATGTCTATAGCGAGAAAAGAAGTACCAAGAGAACTGAGGAAAACTAATACAAGACAATTACGTTAGTTGCGGATCCTTTAAAAGACGCAGAACCAACCCTAACAGCCCCTGGCTGTTGTATGGTTTTTCTGGACAAACTTATGTCCAGTAGTTTGCCATTGCTTTCTGGACGGTCGGCTTTCTTGATACCACTGTTGAAACCAAACACAAGTGCATGGCCCAGCTAGGATCGAACCCGGCATTACGAAGCATTCGCATCGACTTAGCCACAGAGCCAACTACAAGACAATACCCAAGATAAAATGAATATAACTTTTCAGCCTCAAGATTTGAATAATTCTTTTCTCTGTATTCACTGGCATGTCTATTCTGTAGATTGGTGACTTCCAGTAACTCTCAACCATAATCCTTCCATCAGATAAAAAGCACACTTCCCAAGCAAGGAAAACTCTTTAGTTTGCTTCAATTGTTCCTTTTCAATATACAGTAAAACTCTGAATAACTGTCATTCGTTCAACTGTCAGTTTCTATTATTCGTCATTGTCTAAAAAAAAAAAATGCCTGAGTATCAACAAACTACTACTACTTATTCTTAGAGTTACCCTGCGATAAACTCCAGCAGAAAGTTCTTCTTGTTCATTCACTTCTGGACTTTAGTCTTGTTCCAGAACTCGAGTATTGTGCGCCCATTTTTTTTTCTAAACAGATCTGGCTTATCTGTATGCAGACTGTTGGTTCTTTGCCTCTCGGGCAGATGGACTCTGACTTTGAAGGAAGCCCCCCAATTAGTCGACTCTTATGACATGCTTGTTGGGAAGGTAGTGGCTCTATTCCTGTTTGTGAGGCCCCAGAACCAACACAGGGAGTATCAACAAAAAGACAGACAATAAACTCTTGCCTGAACCTATTGACAAAACTGAAGAAATTGTGCAATCATGTAGGACTAAACAGTGAAAACATGACGCTAGAAGAAGTTACAGATTTGTTTGAATATAACAAAATGGATGATAGGCTTTGAAATTTTTAAGTAACATAGGTTTACAGTATTACAAAAAATTTCTACACATTACTACTCTTATACTGAAGTTTATATTGATGTTTTGTCAAATTAAATACAATATTTATGAATTATTCACTTTTAAAGAATTTGTTTAATTTCCGTCCCATGCCCGCAGGAAAATCATGTTACCATAAATATGTATTATGAGATTTATGTTATCCATCTATTCGGTCATCCGTAACAGCCCTGGTCTGGACGGTGACAGTTAATCAAACTTTTACTGTAGATCTTAGCTTCTATGTCTGATGTTGTAAATGTCATTTATCATTTGTTTTATTTACAGTAATTGTTTAAGATGTAATTAGTACTTAACTCACAAAGAGCACTGGTTATGCATTTCGGATAAGGTTTATCCACATTTTTAGGGCATATTATATTGGACCATATTATAAGATGGAGAAAAGTGGAATATGTCACGCTAACAATGGGAGGGAAGATCAGGCGACGTAAGGAGAGACCAAGAGAGATGGTGTTAAACAGTCTGGTATTACGAAATTGGAGAACATCTGCATCAATTATGACTGGCAGTCTGCGAGACAAAAGGCTGTATTCTAGACAGACATTATGATCAATGCTACTTGGCAGAGACTAAAATCAACCTTTTCATACACTAATATCTTTCATGTTTAAATTAAGAAACAAACTGAAGAAGATTTTAAACCATGTGCTACTAACAAAGCACTTGTCTATACACAATCAGCATAATGCTAACTTACAGTGTCGGATGCTGTCAGCAAATGATATGTCTGGAATGGCTTTCTTCATAAAGTTGAGCATAGACTTCAGTAATGCAGCTCGCTGGGCAAAACAATGTTTACCTGGACAGAACAACACAATTAGGATCACATTGAAAAGTTTAATCTTCACAGTAAATATTTCCCCCAAAAATGAAACAAAATAAGTCTTTATCTTTGCTAATCTTGTGTCAAAATCTTCTTGCTATTAACATTTGCTAATCCTGAACTAATGACCTCATATACACATCTAATTACAAATAATCTGTTTTTTTGCCCCTGAAACCTGGTGGATTCTGTATTACTTGAATTATGTAATATAAGCAAAATCAGCACCCTCAATCATCCATCTACTTGTCTTAAGATTTGTGCATGTGATTATTGCTCGTTTCCCAGCAAGCACTTGATAAACCAATTTATTTTTGTTGTGTTGCTATCAAATGTACCAAGATCAGATTTGTCTTATCTGTGATGACCGTGTAAAAGGCTGCTGTCATGTGTCCATGTTGGAAGATAGCTAGCTCCAACTGATGACATCTCACAAAATGAGATCCTGGCAACACTGATTAATGAAGCATACATCATATTAGAGCAAGCTGTCTCATTCTCACCTTTCCCACTGTTTGATGTACCATCATCATCTTCAGTTTTGCTGCTCCCAGCAGCTCCTTGGGATGGTGCTGTCACAGTGGTGGAGGCAGGTACATCAACTGCAGCAGAACTTGTGATGCTGTTGTTGTTCATAGTAGATGCAATTCCTCTTTCAGAGTCAATCATACTAGGCTCCCCATCACCTAGGTCTTCTGTCTGTGAGGTATCCATTGGTGCTAACTGTGGGGAATCTGGCAGAGCATCCATGGTGCTCTCCTGTCTTGGTGGTCGAATCACAAATGGTTGCTCCACACGGCAAATGTTCACCTCATGCTACGGAGCAGTTAAAGAAAGCATTTTAAAGAATGGTAAACCAACCTCAGTCACATTAAACTAGCTGCAGCAACTGATAACATGCAATATAAGGCCAGTATCCTCAACAAATACTGCTGCTATAGCATGAAGTGTTAGGTTTTCACATATTCTAAGTTATAACATTCAAGTTGAGGTGGCGAAGATCCTTTCTTCATCCCCTTTACTTTACAGAACATTCTGCAAATGATCTGGTTCACATCTGTATGAGGCTGACATGAAAATGAAGTGTATTGGTTAAACAAAAACTTACACTGTGCATCATAGTCATTTACTATTATTGTTTTCATTTCCAGAGTTAGACTTGTATACCAGTCATGTCATGTCTTTGTTATCACATAATCACTAGAACCACAAAAGGCAAACTGCCATGGACTGCAACTATTGTTTGGAAACTTATGTTAGTCTGCAAATCCTCCTTTCTCCACATCAAAGCATTCAGTCTCTGAGCGCCTGTCTCTCCCACCTGAATAACTCCCTTAGCAGGTATCGACTGAAGACACCAGTTCAGTCTTGGTTTACTTACTATTCTGCGCTGGCTCCCGGTGTATGGTTCATCTTGCTTCATCCTTTCTGACTAGCCATTATGCAGTCTAATCATGTTTGCTGGTTTAAGTTCAACATTTCATGTTTATCCACATTACTTCCTTGATGGCATTCAGCAAATCAGCCCAGTCCTTTACTCCTCCACTCTCCACAACAAGCCTACTGGATTGTTCCTTTTCTCTTATACCTGCATGTCCTGCAAACAAATTAATATCCAGTCTAACATCTGTGTTCTTTTCTTAATTGCAGTTAATTTACATAAGGGACTGACAAAATTCAGAAATATGTTCAACAAAAGATAGAGAAAGCAAATAGTGAGAATAAAGGTTACTTGTGCATCCCTTAAAGGACGTTGCAGAACCAGCCCCAGCATTTGTGGCAGTTTATGATTTCACTATCAATTTTTACATTCAGCAGTTTGCCACTGCTTACTGAATGGTCAGCTCTAGATACAGCTGCTGACACCAATGCACCTGGAATCAAACCCGGCACCACAGAATTACAAAGCATGTTTGCAAAACCTTATCCACAGCTGCTGACTAGAGAAAACAGAATACTCAATTGTCACAAATGAACTAACCTCTAGTCTGTTGATGAAAGCCTGAAGTCCTCCGTTTGCTTGAAAAGCTGCCATGTCCATGTTTGTAATCAAATCTATCACTCGCACAGCTCGAGTTACAAACTGGAAGTAAAGGGAAACTCACACATTCAATACAAAGTTCAACCAACAAATTTCTTTCTCAATGTATGATCTTATTTGGCTCAAACAACATCTTTTAGTTTGTGATAAGTCTTGGTCACAATAATACAGTAATTCTTTTCACTGGCTAGAAAAAACATGCCTTCAGTCGATTAGGAATGAATGTGTACTGCACACCAGAGTACCCTTTTCATCATCCAAGGCTAAGTAGCTGACCCACTAATCAGATCCATTATTAGTATGAAATGACTTGGGTCATGTGGACACACAAAAATGTCTTTAAGAAAGGTCCCCAACTAAACTCAAATCAAGTTACAGCAGTATAACATGTTCTTAAACCAATTAGATTTTTCCCTCAACATATACACTAGAGCCCCACAACCGACAGTGCCAACACTAGGCTGACTTACAAAACCTATTAATACACAAATCTGGTACGAATTCACTACAAGGTCACATGACCTCTCAAGATGCTAAATTATGATATGATAAATATACCATAATAAATCAAATAAAACTCACAGTTATGTGTTCCTGTCCATCCCCATACCAATTGATGATCTTCAGTAATGACTCCATCATTCCACATGAGACCAGTGCCTCCACACCTAGGCAAACAGAAATCCCTTATAATACAGGTGTCAAACAACATCTAGACTACAAATCACAGCTGTAAAACAATAATATTAATATTTCACTACAATAAATTGATACTGAAACACTGAAAATGTTAGGTCATGCTGATAAGATGTTACATATCTCCTGAGTTTCAATTTGATTTTCCATAGCAGGTGATTTTAACTTCATCTGAACCAATAAAAAATGTTAATGCTATGCAGACAGAATCTAAAATCATTGTTTATGGATAATATATTTATTTTCTGCACCATGTCTGGTGATACCCATTGTTTTATTATTGTTAAAATAAAATTAAAATTAAAAAAATCCTCAGTGACACATTCATTCACTGTGCAAACAGTGGTGGATAATTACCTATCTGTAATGCCCTAAGCCCATGTTTCCTCTTTCCCAATGTACTATTCATGATCCATCTGATCCAATCCTCTTTCATAATCTGTGATATTTCTTTCATAATATGTGATATTTCTTTCATAATCTGTGATATTTCTTTCATAATCTGTGATATTTCTTTCATAATCTGTGATATTTCTTTCATAATCTGTGATATTTCTTTCATAATCTGTGATATTTCTTTCATAATCTGTGATATTTCTTTCATAATCTGTGATATTTCTTTCATAATCTGTGATATTTCTTTCATAATCTGTGATATTTCTTTCATAATCTGTGATATTTCTTTCATAATCTGTGATATTTCTTTCATAATCTGTGATATTTCTTTCATAATCTGTGATATTTCTTTCATAATCTGTGATATTTCTTTCATAATCTGTGATATTTCTTTCATAATCTGTGATATTTCTTTCATAATCTGTGATATTTCTTTCATAATCTTGATATTTCATAATCTGTGATATTTCTTTCATAATCTGTGATATTTCTTTCATAATCTGTGATATTTACTTTCATAATCTGTGATATTTCTTTCATAATCTGTGATATTTCTTTCATAATCTGTGATATTTCTTTCATAATCTGTGATATTTCTTTCATAATCTGTGATATTTGTTTCATAATCTGTGATATTTGTTTCATAATCTGTGATATTTCTTTCATAATCTGTGATATTTCTTTCATAATCTGTGATATTTCTTTCATAATCTGTGATATTTCCTTCATAATCTGTGATATTTCTTTCATAATCTGTGATATTTCTTTCATAATCTGTGATATTTCTTTCATAATCTGTGATATTACTTTCATAATCTGTGATATTTCTTTCATAATCTGTGATATTTCTTTCATAATCTGTGATATTTCTTTCATAATCTGTGATATTTCTTTCATAATCTGTGATATTTCTTTCATAATCTGTGATATTTGTTTCATAATCTGTGATATTTCTTTCATAATCTGTGATATTTCTTTCATAATCTGTGATATTTGATTTTCATAATCTGTGATATTTCTTTCATAATCTGTGATATTTCTCATAATCTGTGATATTTCTTTCATAATCTGTGATATATTTTCTTTCATAATCTGTGATATTTCTTTCATAATCTGTGATATTTCTTTCATAATCTGTGATATTTCTTCTTTCATAATCTGTGATATTTCTTTCATAATCTGTGATATTTCTTTCATAATCTGTGATATTTCTAATCTGTGATATTTCTTTCATAATCTGTGTGATATTTCTTTCATAATCTGTGATATTTCTTTCATAATCTGTGATATTTCTTTCATAATCTGTGATATTTCTTTCATAATCTGTGATATTTCTTTCATAATCTGTGATATTTCTTTCATAATCTGTGATATTTCTTTCATAATCTGTGATATTTCTTTCTTCTGTGATAATCTGTGATATTGTGATATTTCTTTCATAATCTGTGATATTTCTTTCATAATCTGTGATATTTCTTTCATAATCTGTGATATTTCTTTCATAATCTGTGATATTTCTTTCATAATCTGTGATATTTCTTTCATATTTCTCTGTGATATTTCTTTCATAATCTGTGATATTTCTTTCATAATCTGTGATATTTCTTTCATAATCTGTGATATTTCTTTCATAATCTTTCATGTGATATTTCTTTCATAATCTGTGATATTTCTTTCATAATCTGTGATATTTCTTTCATAATAATCTGTGATATTTCTTTCATAATCTGTGATATTTCTTTCATAATCTGTGATATTTCTTTCATAATCTGTGATATTTCTTTCATAATCTGTGATATTTCTTTCATAATCTGTGATATTTCTTTCATAATCTGTGATATTTCTTTCATAATCTGTGATATTTCTTTCATAATCTGTGATATTTCTTTCATAATCTGTGATATTTCTTTCATAATCTGTGATATTTCTTTCATAATCTGTGATATTTCTTTCATAATCTGTGATATTTCTTTCATAATCTGTGATATTTCTTTCATAATCTGTGATATTTCTTTCATAATCTGTGATATTTCTTTCATAATCTGTGATATTTCTTTCATAATCTGTGATATTTCTTTCATAATCTGTGATATTCAATGACACCATGGCATTCAAGTCAAGAATCAAAATTTAATTTTGCCATTTCTCTGACGGCCTTTAGTAATTCAGAGTTTCATGCAAAATGTCTCCTTAACTGATTCATCCTTAGCATTTGCTGATATGTTATAATGGATAACAGCAAAAAAAAAATTTTTAATAGCTGCAAATTTTGCTGTTTTCATTGTAGATCTATTAAATTCCACTTTATTAGTGCTTTCGCTGCCTCTTTTCACAGTATACAAGCCTGTACTTTGCCGCGAGAGACATTTTTCTCGGTGTTCTAGGAACAGTATCATTTTACCTATGACATCTTGATCATGTCTTCATTTTCTTCGCGTTCACTGGCTGTAAACTCCTGGGGAAAGTTCTGGTTGTTTGTCCACTTCTGAACTTTAGTTCTGTTCCAGAACTTGAGTGTTACTGAACATCTGTTTTAGAGATGTGACATTTTTTTTATGCAGACTGCTGGCTTCTTGCCTCTCAGGCAGATGCACTCGGACTACGGAGGAAGCACCCAGTTTGTCGACTCCTACGCCATGCATGTCGGGGAGGCAGTGGGTCAATTCTTGTTTCCCCCACAAATGGGGCCCCAGAACCCACACAGGAAGATCAGAATGTAAAACTGCTAATCCAATATTTTATTTTCCCCTCTGTGCTGTGGAGTTCCCATATAATTCTAACTTTCCAAGTGCCAATTCTGGACATAATCCTAGGTCAAGGGAAGTAAAGTGTTTGATCCAGACTCAGTATACTCATAACACATCACTCTACTACATGCAGAAAGACAGACGTAAAGGCTCTATGAGGCATGTGAAGAGTGCAGAGGCACAGATAGATCATCATAGTCTCAGGAAAATGGTGCTGCGAGGAGTGACCAGGGCATCTGGCCAATGGTCAACAAACATTGGAGGAAAGCATGAGAGGGATATGCAATCAGACTGTTACTGGTGCCATCAGAATTAGAACTCTGTGCTTACTGCTGAAGATGGGGATGGGGTGCTAATGAGAATGACCCAAGTGAGATACTGCGTCTTATTTAAATAGACATTAAACACTTATGACCAACGCACAAAATTAACCTTAATTAACAACTTACCATTTTCATAACTAGCAAGATGATATAGAAATGAAAAGAGTGATGTGGCATATGTCTGTGGGAATGGTTTCAGATCTGGATCTGTCAACAAGAAAACAATACATTCATTTGAAGCAAGTTTATTACTGGTCCACAATACTTAATATTTGACATATATTTCTTCACTGTCAATCCATCATATTTTTTGGAGATCTATACTCAGCTTTGTATCTTGGATCTGATCACATGCCTACCTAATTTATCTTCATTTATACATATACAACATGGATAAAACATCGCCTAATGGATTTCATACTTTGTTGTATGTTCGTTTTATCCTCTTTCAACTATTAATTAAATATTCAACATCATGCATGAAAACCTGAAGAAAAATAAAACACATTTCAGCAGTTACTAAATGTCAAATTCCACCTTTACTGCATGCCTGAAATAATCATACAACATAATAAGCAAACTATTTTTTTTATGTATAGGCAAGAACACAGGAAACATATTAAAGTTGTAATATTGTAGACTCCTCTCTCATTTCTATCAAACCATGACATCCCCCTATATTTGCTAACACTTATTTATGGTACTTGCCTCGGTCTTTTTCTTGTATCTCCAAGAACATTTTTCTTTCTTTTATTTTGATCTCAGATAATGCTTCTTGGGTGTTTAATCTAACAGCACAATTGTAATTGTTATTTTCCTAATATTTCTCCCTTCAGTTTGATCATTTTGTTTTGCTTAGCTTGTTTCTATCAAGTGAATGGACCAAAGCTTGAAGTGATTTTAATAGGCTAAACAATGTCTGCACTAACGCCACAAGGCAACAGGCAATGATAAGTCATGTTATGATCGAAAATTAGGTAGATATTATATATTTCAAAACTGAACCAACATGGTAGTCCCTGAGTTGCCCTAAGTGAAGAAAATCAAAGCAAACATTTCAGCTACAATAAAAAGAGAGTGTATGCACCTTAACTATGGGGCAGACACCTACAGCTTATAGTGTGTTGAGTGATTCTCTGAGCATGATCCGGCGGGTCGAGGCAGGCTGGTTACACAGAAAGTGGTTTAAGTTATTGCAAAACTCTCCTGTGTGTGCAGTTACTTTCATATTGGTCCCAGGGTATGCAGGTGTTGGTAATAAAAGAGCTGATAGACTAGCAGGTGCTGCATTAATTGAAGATGGCCAGCCCATGGATCACGCAGACATTGTCATTGCCCTTAGAAAGATAGCACGTTCTGAGGATTTTGGAAGCAATGTGATCACATCACTGCTAAGAAAACAAGAATTGGGAGTTAAGATCGGCACAGCCAAGCATGAGAAGCACACCAGACGCACACAGAGTCTTGTTAACCAACATAGGACTGGCACTATTAACCACACGACGCTGATGAATATGATGAGAGGGGAATCTGAGCGCCTATGGATGTGTCCGGATTGCTGTGAAGATTATCTAACTCATAACTCATAGCTTATAATTCACAATAAAAGGAGAGCTCAGTTGTATGCCTGTAATCGTTTAGTTCATTAATGCTGTTCAGACTAGGTTACCACGCAGGATATATATATAGGGCAACCTTCAATAATAAAGTGCCATCTCCACAATGGTTGGCTGCAATGGATCGCCAACACTCACTGTCTCTCACGACTACTGCCCATGCACCTCTTGATACTATCATCCATCTCACTTCTGTCTTCGTCTGCTTCTTACTAACCTGCCTTCAACTTTTCTCTTTAGCAGATTTTTTTTTTCTTAATAAGAGCACCATGGCCTTCAAGTAACTAATTGTCTTTGTTTTTTTTTTTTTTTTTTCCTTAATTTTCTTTTACTACCTCTTATTTCATTCTCAGTCTCTCAAGACACTGTGCATCTGACTGTTTGTGTTACCCTAGAGCACCATCATGTTCTTTGTAGGAGCATCACTGTATTCTAGAGAGCAATGACAAACAGATATTACCACTACTTACCAATCATGTGCTGAATGCATGTCCGCACTAAAACTGGTAGAAAGCCATGATAGGAAGAAGCCCCAGTGGCATCAATAATACTGTTGAGTCTGGAATAAGAACAATGTATTGTTATATATCAAACAAGCTGGAATCAACTATCAATGTCAACATGCTTGTGGTTAGTTTGAAGCCCCAGTGGCATCAATAATACTGTTGAGTCTAGAATAAGAACAATGTGTTTTGTTACATATCAAACAAGCTGGAATCAACTATCAATGTCAACTTGCTTGTGACATCTGTGTGGGGCCATAAAAAATATGTTCAAACAAATATTACCAAACAGTCTGTCTCCACGCAGTCTGAACTGTAAGCTATACAAATGTCTAACTCCACGCAGTTTGAACTGTAAGCTATACAAATGTCTAACTCCACGCAGTCTGAACTGTAAGCTATATAAATGTCTAACTTCACGCAGTCTGAACTGATTTGATTTAAGAACCGACATCAGAGCACTCAGGACATTCCCATAAGCGCTCCGTCCCCATCTTCAGCAGCTAGCGAAGAGTTCCGATACTAATGGTGCCAGTAGCTTTCTGATTAAACGTCCGTCTTGCCTTTCCTCTGAGCATTGAGCTTCTGCCAGAACCTCTCGTCACCCCCAACTGCATCAATCTCACCAAACTGTGGTGATCCATCTGCTCCTCCACATTGTACAGCTCTCCCACAAGACACTAACCACGTCTGCCCTATAATGTAACAGTATTCTACCAAGCAGTCTGAACTGTAAGCTATACAAATGTCTAACTCCATGCAGTCTTAACTGTAAGCTATAGAAATAAGAAAGTACAAAAGATAACTGAACACAAATAACCCCAAAAACAGGTGATGTGAGAGCAAAAGGGCACCCAATGAGAAGACTGTGATGACCTTAAAGATGTACACCCATAATGAACGACAATGGTTAGTATCAGCAACGACAATGGTTAGTATCAGTCATCGATCTCTGGGTGCAAACTGTTCCTCTCCACAAGGCTTAATGACAAAATTAGAAACCGATGGCGGTAACAATAAATTAATAAGTAATGGTCAAAGAATATAACAAATATGTGAGATTATGAAAATGAGTGAACATACCTGGGATTTCTCTCAATGTGTATCACAGAAGTCAGGGTTCGCAGGGCAGCAGATTTGATGTCCTAGAAAGAAGTGTACATGTTCATTAATACAGAAGAGCAACCCATTCTTTTACAATGCATAAAAACTGAACTAGCTTTTGTTATTTTATCATCAAGTACTTTGTAAATGGGAGTGAGCGATATGCTTCTCTAAATTTAGCAATTTCCCACACCACATGTCAATTCATATTCTGACATGTTTCCACGCCATAAAAATTTACTTTTCTCTTTGCTTTTACCCTATATCTCTTACTATAAATCTTTCCAGATTTTACAACATGTTCCATTTTTTCTTTTCTCATAAAGTGGTTACAAAAATGAAGACTGGCTCTTTTTTTTATTCTTGTACTAAGCTGTCTTAATCGCTTTCAAAACATTTAAATTCTTCATGGCTGTCGAAGCAACTGTAATCATTTTGCAAACACTTAACATCATCTGCTGATCTGTTGGTGACTTCTGCTACAATCAATGATGAACTGCATTTCTAATGTCGGACTGTGTTAGCACTTGGGATTGCTACCATATGCTTTTAATGCGAGTGTATGCTAGTTACGCTGAGACAGCAGTCTGTCAATCTTTCCACAAGGGACTATGATAAACATTCTGTGTGTTTTTCGTTGGCAAAGGAGCGGAGCAACGATGGGGTGACCCGCTTGCTATGAAGCTGAAACTAAGACTACCAGACATAACATCAGCACAATTTGACCATTTTAAAGTCCACTCCACAATATTTCCCTGTGAAGAAGTTGTCAGCTGTGGTTCCAACATCGTGGCCAAGGGTCACCTCATTACAGCTCCACTTCTGTGACAGTGAAAACCACAGAAATTACTTATTGCATTCCCCTGTGGAAAATGATTTGGACAGCAGTCATTATATGATCAACAGTGCATCTTCTTTCTGCTGTTATCTCACTGATATCAGGCCTAGTGTCGTGGTTTTCTATCTTTGTCTTGCGATTCTCGGGTGACAGATTTGCTCCATACCAACAGTGCACACATGTATCGAATGCATAATATAGACAACAAAGTACCAATACCAAAAGTCTGCCAACAGAACTGCAATTTACTACTGAAAGAAGCAGCAGCTACAACAAAACCAGATGCCGGCATTTGCACTACCTCAAGAGGCATACCACCAGTTTAGTGGCAACTGGCAACTTAACATTCCTAACACACACAACCATAGATACATGAGAAAATACATTCCAAAAGTAATCAACGGCTCAGAGCGTTGCATCAAGTACTTAATAGCTAGGCAACAGAGACATACAAGTATGGGTGAAAGTGCCAGCAAACTGTGGCCAGAGCAAACAAGGTTCCAAGACTTTAAAAGATAAAATGTTTTTTTTTTTTTGGCCATACTGGACTGGAAATTCAATGTGAATTTCACAGATTAAGAAAACAGTAATACCTTGGTTAACACAAACTCTCTTGAGAAGAACAATCGACTAATACAAACAGCATCTTGGTCCAAGAAAGGATGTATTACTGTTAATAGTCCCAGGTTAGCAGCACATATCTTTACCATGAATTTGATTTTCAGTCTCTTGGAATTTGTGTTATTGAGGTTGTATTGTATTTTATATTTTACTTACAACAATATCAGAGTCCTTGATCTCCACAATATCAACCAGTTCTTCAATGAGTCCTGGATACAGAATCACATTCATGTTGTCCTGTATTGCACTTGAATACACTGCAACAATGTATGCAATTACGTTAGTAAAAGATAATTTCATTCACGTATGCAACTTTTATTTATCTTTTGCTCTCTCTTTTTTAACCTATATTAACTGAATAAAATAAAAACTTTTAACAAAAAACAGCAAACTTATAGAGCATTAGCAAACTCAGAGACTTTAGGGCCTCAAGTATGGTTCATTTAAGCAATCACGTTCATGCACTAGGTTTTTTTAGCAGCTCTATTTACATTAACTCTAGCAGCCAGAACCTTAGTCCCTTCTAAGGACATGTCCAATTTAAAGTCATCACAGTCTTATAATGGACAGATTCTGATCAAGATTTTCATTCACTGCACACAGTAACTTCCTTAAAAACTCGACCCTTGTCTGAGGCCAGAAGTTGGGTGCTACCTCCCCTCCAAAGAGTTGGCATTTATCTTCTTTGCGTTCACCGGCTGTACACACCAGCATAGTTTTGGTTGTTCAGCCACTCCTGGACTCCAGTCTTATTCCAGAACTTGAGTTTTGCGTTCACGCCCCTATGACAGATTTGGCCTTTTTCACCCACAATGGCTTTATGTCTTCTAACTCGTTTCCAGTAAGCCACTTTTGCCTGCTAATACTTAATTAGAAAATTTAAAATATCTGCCTTAGGCAGATTGTTTGGAATGACACTGTAATTTTTTTTTTTATTAATTGTTCTGCTACAATGCTTGATCTAAAAATGTCAGCACACAGCTTCCGAAGTCTTTAATTTAAATGTTATGCTCCAATGTTAAGTTTTGAAAAGGCTGGGTGAAATCATTTAAATGTTGTTTCTGGACCTTTTTCTAAACAGTAACAGGATATAAACCCCATTTAGTGTGCTGAAGTAGCGCAGAGATGATATTCTTGTCCAAATGAAAAAGTACCTCATCAAAACTATTTTTTTTAAATATTCCCCTATCAATGTTGTCAGTGGAATGTGATGTCCCACTCCACTCCTGCCTCTGGGCAGTCGATTCAAAGCCTGGCCTTCTCATACACAACAGGCCAAGAAATAACAAGATTGTATGTCACATCCCATATGTTCAAAAATCCTTTGACCACTGGTAACTGTAAAAAGGATGTAAAGTAGCATTTCAGAAGGTAGAAAACCTTTCCACAACAGAATAATTATAGTATTTATTGAGGTGGTAGAGCCAACCTGCCACAATTCCTATGCTAAAGTCTGGTGTGAAAATATGGCAATTTCACATTTTTTTTTTAATGAACGTGGCATGAAGAAGAAGAAAATATATTCATTATATCTGTTTCTCCAACATGCATTTTCATAAACTCTTCTCAGTACTCCTGACACAGAAACATAGGAAAATTAAGAAAAGAGACTACTCAAACAGATAAAGCACAAATAATCACACTGTACAAATGTACCTAAGATGGAGATAGCTTGAAGCCTGGCTTGAACACAGTGTACACGGGCTTCATAGTTGGAGAACAAACAGGCAAGACGGATGTGGGTGAACAACAACACCTGTCAGGATATAAAATCAACATGTGATTAAACAATAAACATTGAAAAAAAGAAACTCTGGTACAACTGTTGAGAGATAAAAGGTTTTAAAAACTATACAAACGGCAATTTAAGGCAAGTTTTGCTTGTAAATAATATCCAACATTTTTCCAATTTTGTATGCAGCAATATTGTAGTACCGTTCTGGTGTGTACCAAACCTTAGATATACAATTTATCAATAGTTAGTGAAGTCTGCCTTTTTTTCTGTATATTGTATTTCAGGTATTGTGTGTGTTTGTGTGTGTGGTGTGGGTGTGAGTGAGTGCGTGGAGAATACTGATGCTGGGAACTGTGACAGTGGCTGAACCGTTTTCGTTGATGTCCTTTAGTAGTTAGTCCAATGATCATCGTGACATCACGTGGGACTATTCACTCTAAAAGTGTTCAGACTTCCTCCTCAGCTAGTTTATCAGCATAAGGAGGCTGACAACAAAAGTTCTGTGCTAGCTTACTTTTCTTCTTTGGCCAACTATGTGACAGTCTGGTGGGACTTTACTACTTTTGACTTGTAGATTCACTGTGATCGCCTGATTCATGTTTTATCTTTCCTAAATGCGACGTATCGTAGCCACACACAAAAAACTTTTGTGATATGTGATTCCGCTAATCATGTAAATATAATACCTGTTTTTCCTCAGGGACATCATACAGTTCCAAAATGTCCTCCATAATCTGTGAAGGCATACGTCCTGTCTTGTCCACATTTTCCATGTGAATACTCTGGATCACTGTTGTCGGGCCCTGCATTGACAAACAAGTGAAAGCAGTTTAAGTCTCATATGTGAAAATATACGTAAAAGATTTGAGATAAATATTTTTTTTTTAATATCCAGAAGCCATGAGTTCTTAACCCTTTGACTCGGTACTAAAGATATTGCAACCCTTCGGCCTTGATTCCATGATAAATACCGTAAATCTGGGAGAAATGTGGCTTTTCTGCCTACCCCCGGGCGTGAACCCGGACCATAAGGAGTTTGTCACCCGGTCGTCGCGAAGTCAGGTTTAGTGAGCCGGACATATAGGATATATAACATCATCTTCAAGTGCCTTGCCAACTGGCATGGGTGATCATGCCTCTTCCTAATCTGCGATCTCTACTGAGTGTATCAGTTCATGTGTTGACACCACTCCATGCCATGACAAAAGGCAGACAAGAATAATTTTGCATTGTCTTGCCCTCTCTCTCTCTCTCTTTCCACCAATTTTTCCAATGGTCACAATATGTTCTAGTTTCCTGGTGACTGTCTCTTTCTGATGTTTGTAATAAGTTGTCTTTGAGCCTTCGCTTACAGACTGAATTAACCCTATGGCCCCATTATGGCACTAATCCAGCATTTCCTTTCCATTGGGAGCAGCAGGTACTGTGGTTGTGCTATGTTGCAATGGGATGTCAACTGGCAGAAACAGCAGCCACACTGCACACAGTGTTCTGACTGCAGTTCTGGCAGACACAACTGGTCAGCAGGAGACTGCAACTGTCTAGAGAGCAAACTCAAAGGAAGTTGTCTCCAGAAACAGACTGTATCAACTAGTTAGCCCAATGGCTAAATAAATTAAAAGAAAGGTAAAATGTAGCAGGGGAAGGTCAGGTCACCCAAACAAATTTTTTTTAAGATTCAAGGGTTGTATTCCATTTAATTCTTCATCTGTTTATTGATTACTGCTCTTCATATTTTTTTTAATAACATTTTTTTCTTCTTCACTTTTACCGCTTCATGTGTTGTGGGAGATACAAGGTTCTGCTTCTTGTTCCTCTGGCTGCCTCGACCACAGGTGCAGTTGGTAGAGTTTCTCTGACGTTACCTTTTATCTCGTTCTAGGTCTACCTTGTGCTCTATGTCCTTCTCCTCTTTTGTTGTATAGCTTGTAGAGTATGGGTCACAACGCGCATTCTCTTCAAGTCTGCAAACCATTTGATTTGTGGTCTTAGTATGTAAGATAGAAATGGTTCTGTGCCAACTTTTTCTCTTTCAACCTCATTTCTGATTGTATCTCTTTTGTTAACTCCTGCAGCCCTTCTCAGACATTTCATGTCAATGGTCACTAATTGTCTTGTATGGTTTGTTGTAAGTGACACTGTCTGTCACTGGTAACATTCAGTGGGAATGAATATACTTTGTATGAGATTTTTCTATGTGCTGACCAGGATCATCTTATGCTGTAACAGTTGGGAAAGCTGTACCAATACTTGGTTTGCTGCTTTAGTGCATACAATGTTAATTTCTTCTGTCTACTGTCCCATCTTCAGTATTTGTTGTTCCCAAATATTTTTACTCAGATGCATGTGCATTCTGTTGCTAAATTCATTTTCTGCTTCTTTGTTCCCACTGAAACATTTTTTTTAAATGTAGAATACATTTTAATGCATTTTTTTCTGGGAATTTCATGGTTCTGGGTTTTGTTTTGAAAAAAAAACAGGTTTAGATCTAAAAGACTATACCAACAACAAATATGCTATTCATAGTTAAACTGTTGTATTTAAAAAATTAAAAAAAACTAATTCATGTCACAATATACAGTTTTTCTCAAGCCTGTGACCTAGAACATCTAATTTTGCCCAGCAAAGACAAAATGCTGCAGTTCTTTTAGCAAAAGCAGTGAATGTTAGGGTAACTAAGCAAGTTGACACAACTGACTTACAGACAATTTCTTGTTTTTGCTCTCCTTGTTTTCTGTGTAGAATTCAAAGTGCAGAGTTGTTGAGCTTGGTGGGAAGTACTGAAAAATATCAATAATCCAAGAATGCTTGAGGACAATTTCAATATAGTTACAAAGATAAATAACCACATTCTTCTTCTACTTAGTGTTCAACAGCTGTATAACCCCCCTGCTCCTCCTTTTTTCGTATCAAGCCCATATTTTAATAGGTTAATCAACATCTGATACATTTCCTAGTACGTATTTTAGGTTTCGTCAACCAGGGAGCCGTAGACAAATTCTCCCATTGTCAAAGTGAAATATGATGGCAGCAAGCTGATTAACTATACATTTAATATGCCAAAAAATGTCCAGGACTGTCTGTATTTCACACTGATAAAACCATCTAGGTTTTTATACAAGCACTGCTATTTTTCTGAACTTGCTTCTGTTTTTTTTAGATGTTTTAAAGGTCTTTCTCTTGATTAAAGGATACAAACAAACATTTTTAATGCAATGGGATAGTTAACCTAAGGCTAACCTTAGCTGCTCTGTAAGATAAACTTCTTAGTGCTTATATTGCCAACAGGAATACTTACACACAAGACGAAGCTAATGAGCACACTGCAATAGTAAATATCTTACACTGATTGGCAGATCCTGGCAGCACTCAGCTAATCCAAATCCATTTTCTTTCCCTCCCCAGCTCTGAAACAAAACAAAAACAAAGTTAAATTCAACAATGACAGAAAGATAAAAACATGAGATTTATTACACAGTAGAAAATAAATTACCCAGCATTTTCTCAATAAAATTTGTGGTTGAAAGTACATGTGCAATAACATTACCGTTATTACTAATCACAGCCTAAATTAGTGTGCTTTCAATTAAGCGTGTTTGTTAAAGGGAAGCCACCACACTGTCTTCTGACAGCCCACTATATGTCCTCCCCATAATATGTACCTCTGTCTCGTAACTCCTACCACCATTGCTATTCTTCTTAATCCTAGATGAAAGGAGGTCGGCCGACTATCCATACTTTTTTATTTAGCTTTCTTTGTATCTTTTCCTAATTCTAAGGCAAGACCCTCCCCTCATTTTGGTTGGCAGAGACATTCTTGATTCCTATTTAGACCTGTTCATAGCTTGTTGGCTTTTGCGAGTGAAGCTTCTAATGGGATGAAGTAGCCAAACCCTAAGATCAACCCTCCCTAGCTGCCTCTTCCAAGACACAGGACAGGGATTAAGAAAGAAGCGACAACAAAAAAAACTATTTAAAAAAAAGATTAATGATACATTTTAAGGGTGAAACAACTGGGGGTTAAACCAGCAAACAACCAGAAAGCTTTAAAAAACACTAATTTTTATATTAAATCACAAGTATTTCTTCTGTGTTCACCATTAAAAGGATGCTTGGAACATTGTGTTGAGGTTGATAACAAGGCTGTAATGTCTCAGCAAACCCCACAATTAGTTGCCTTTTTTCAAGATACCACTTTGAGTGACCTGTTTGACTTGATGACATCACAACACCCCTGGTAACAGTGATCATAATAAACTATCATCCAGTATTTAGGTTGCTGTTCACAAGACTGCACATATCTAACATCAACAAATATTCAAGCTGCCAACAAAAACCAAAAAACTGCTATTTAAAATTGTAATACGTAAATAATAGAACACAGAAACAAGCATCTAGACTGAAAACTGTTGATAAAAACTTAAATATGTATTTATTCTCACACCGTATACTACAGAATTGACAATAACTCCAACCTGCATAAACTAACACTAGAACTCTGACAATGAATCCAGATATCAGGTAACAAGCAAGCACTTAAAAAACACACCTCTGCAAGATGAATCAGCCTCTGTATTAGTCCCTGCTTCTTTTCTTGGTTCATACGAGAAATGAAGTTAGAGCGCTTACTGAAATAAAAGCATGCACAATAAATTAATGTAAACAAATAAAAGGAAGATATACAATGTGAGAATCTTAAGTAGTTTTCTAATAGCCATGGTAAGCTGCCTTGAATACAAGAAAATATACATCAAAGGAATCTGTATATCTGTCTCACTGCTATAAGAAACAGCAGTGGCCACAGGTCACTTACAATACAATGTTTACTTCCAAGTTCAGTCACGGACATGCCATCAATCCACAGTATGCACAGTCGACCTCTAGGCTGCTTCCATTATGTGACAGGGCTATCTGTGGTGCACAGTTTGGGGATCACTGCTCTATGAAGTCGGACATGTTGACCAAAGGTGCAACACATTGCAGCTTTGCTGTGAACAGGCACAACGCAATTACACCACTCGGACGAGCGAACCGAAGAAGAATGAAAGACTGGCCTGCGAGCTCTATGAGACACATTACTGCACACCCCCTGCGTAGGTTCCGTTGCCCCATTCCAGGAAAAACAAGAACAGATCCACTGACTTCTCTGCAAGGAGTCGACTAACTGGGAACTTTCTTCGAAGTCAGAGTGCATCTGCCTGAGCAGCAAGGAACAATCAACTGCACTTAAATAAGTCAGTAACACGGACAGGCCCTGGCACAAAGCCAAAGTCCACATGGACGAGCAACCAGGACTTCCCGCTGGAGCTTACAGCCAGTGAACGAAGAAGATGATGATTACTGCACAAAAGAATGATGATACAAAATGAGATGTATATCCAAACTGAAACTTTGACACACATACCAATTATCTTTTACTAATGTTACAGATCCTCTCTTAAACAAAGCAAGTAATGTTCCAGAAATATATGCATCTGTACCAAACTATCCTTAGTAGTTTAGCTCTATCAGAGTTGAGAATAGAAACAAGTTTTGGTTTTCTTAAACATTCTTTTAATCTAATGACATAAACAATTAAGAACACATATATAAACTATTTAGAAAGGATATCAGGTGCCTAACTGCCTAATATATATTTATATGCTTATAATATCAGCCATGCATTCCGTAGCAGAATGAATGAATTATATTGTTGACTTGCTTCTTATGTCAACCTGAATTATATTATTAAAAGGTTAACTCCTTTAAACTTCCCAACTGGGGAGAGGCATATTGAGATGTTTTCTTAAGTCATGATACAGCACTACACATATGGACTGGCTGGAATGAGACCTAAGTCAGCAATGTTGCCCCATGAGACATGGCCATTTTACTGTTGCTGCATCATTTATGTCACACACACACACACACAAAAGAAAATAGCAGCATCAAAATCTTTCACAGTGATGAGAGGGCTAATCTGTGGTGACAAGTTCACTTGACTGTTTCTTTAGGTCATGACAAAGATGTGAGTAACACAATAATAAAAACTATATGAGGCGAGGAAATGTTAAATGTAGTGCTACTGACCTGAAAACATAGAGCAGGTTAAGTACATAGAGAACTACGCTCATGTCACAAGATGTCAGTAGTGTGGTCAGGTGGTCCATTGAACTGTACAAGTGCCGTGAAAAGCTGTGCTCAATGAGAAGTGCTGTAAAGCGAAGAACTTCAAGAAGCAGCTTCTTCAACTGGGGAGCAGAACATATGAACATTTTGTGTTAATAGGTCATACCTTTTCAATGTTACAGCAACAAAAAAACTAAAAAACATAATTTAAATCAGATACAGAAAAAACTCATTTACAAGAATTCTTAAGGTCTAAAATCAAGTTTGTGTCAAAATATTATGTCAAAACCGGGGATTAATATCAATAATATATCCCTGGTGGGAAAAAAATTGTGTTCATGTTAATGAGGGTTTACTGTAGTTACAATGCTGTGATTTGTCATTATAAGGACATCTTGAATGAAGTCAACTTACAAAAAGAACAGATGACACACATCCAGAAAGAGACACACTACATTATTTGAGCACATTCTGAAAAGAGGGGAACTGGCCTAGGTCAACAGGAAAGCTGGTGGGAAAGAGAGTTAGCTGACGACAAGAGAGAGGATATTGGACACTTTAGAATGATGGCCTTGAAGAACACATCAATCAGATATGGTTGGCACTGCATGAGACAGAAGGCTATGGACAACCTGATGACAAATTAATGCCACATAGCATCAACCTTTTTTTTTTAAAGATTGTTCTTTCAGATTAGAATGCAAATGTCACTGCCAATGAGTTTCAGTCCAACAGATCATTCAGCTTTTTTTTAACAGATCTGAATTATGGATATGTTACCATATATCTCAAGACAGGAAACTACATGCAACTCCTTTTTGTAAGAAGAAAGAACACAATTCACCAGCATCTCTAAAATGAAACCACAGGGCCTGGTAGAGAACAAGATGAACAGAAGAGAGGCTTGGATACAGAATTAAACTGAATGCATAGGCCTGAAATGTGCAAATATTCAATCCACTGCATATGACCAACAGAGGTGGAGGAAACTGATTTCAGTCAGCAGTTGGTAACCCAACGACCTGCTGTGACTATGATGGTGATCTCAAGCCTGCTTCTGAAGACAGTAACTGAAACTTAAACACTTCTTATACATATACCTATAATATTACAGTGCAGACCTGATAATAAGAACTCAACGGGGACCCAAAAAATGGTTCTTAGAAATCCCTTTTATCCAAATAAGAGTTCAAGAAAGAAAAATTGCCAGGGATAAATAAATTTTCTCCACAACAGAAATTTGCCACAACCGCGATCATCTCAAGCAGTCTGCACTGCGTATGCTTCAGGATTTTTTTAATACAGATATGAGTCTCAATGTAGTCAAATGTTTTTACTATGTAACCCAAACAGACACAAGTGCTAGAAGGTTTAAAGTATATGTTCACCTGCTCACTGCCTGCTAGGTCACAGAAAAGAGTCCACTTTCTGTCATTGTCCTTGAAGCAGGACATCTCCAGGATGGCATCAAAGGCATCCAGAATGTCTGCCCAATGGTAGAGCTCACACTGAAAATAAACATGTTTATAGAGTTCTTGATAGCAACAAGTCAGAAAGAATTACAGGAAATGATAGACATTGTGGTGTTAGAAAGTGAAAGAATGGGCCTCAGTTTGAATAATGGGAAGACAGAAGTAATGGTGGTATCAAAGAAACAAATTATTCCTAAATGTGTAATAAAAGTCAATGGTGTTATTTTAGGACAAGTACAGAAATTTAAGTATCTGGGCACATGGATAACATCAGATGGAAGATGCATAACTGAAATAAGAAACAGAATTGGACAGGCATTTTATAAAATGAAAAACATCTTGTGCAATATATCCTTGTCCTTGAGAGTTAGAAAAAGAATTCTTGCTTGCTACATACATCCAGTTTTAACATATGGATGTGAATCCTGGACAATCGGTAGGGAGGCCAAACAATTTTTAGAGGCCTCAGAGATGCGGTTTTACAGAAGAATGCTTAGAATACCTTGGACAGCCAAAAAGAGCAACCAAGAGGTTTTAAAAGAGGCGGGAGCCCGAAGACAACTTATCACTGACATCAGAAGGAGACAGTCATCATTTTTCGACCATGTTATGAGAAGAGGGAAAATAGAACATGTTGTGACCACTGGAAAGATCTGTGGAAGGAGGGATAGAGGAAGACAACGAGAGAAGATGCTTGACAGTCTTGTTGCATGGCATGGAGGTGTGTCGGCACACGAACTGATACATGCTGCAGGAGATCGCGGATTATGGAAAGGCATGATCGCCCACCCCAGTCGGCAAGGCACCTGATGATGATGATGATAGAGTTCTTCTCCAACACACTACCCATGGGATATAGGCTAAAATGGACAACTAAATGTTTGCCAATTAAACCAATGTAAACAGCAACACTGAGTTACAAGTAAAAAGCTATGGTGCCATCATGTGAAAATAAGTACACAACTATGTAAAAGGATTTCAGATTAAAAAAAGAGACCAGAGACATTTCAAAAACAATACAAACAGTATACAAATGACCAGTTTAACAATACCTTGCCATAGTTCCAAGTTTTTATGTCCTTCAGCTCTTTGTAAAGATCATCATCGGATAAACCTTTCAGTTTATCAATAAGAATCTTGCAGTCTGCAGGCTTCAAATGCAAAAATGGAAATCATAATAATGTACTACCACATAAACTGATGACATAAAAATACATGACATGAGATAAAGTGAAGTGCAAAAACCCTTAGGTAGGTTTTGCATATGTATATATCCGAGGGCCCATTATGAAAAACAAGTGCACAATAGTATACTAGCATAGAATATAATTATCTGCTCTATAGTTTTTATTTTTGGGTCTATGATAATTCCTTTGACCAGTGCAAGTATATAATTCTAGTTATACTGTTATCGGTTTCTCACTGTGCACCCTATCTACGTCCGCGTCTGTGGCTTAGGCATTGGGAGCCCAATCAGTGCACACGGGGTGAGAATTCGATCCCAGCTGCATGCAATTTGGCCGCAGGCCACCTCACAGGCAATTTACACCAGCGGCAGCTGAGCAGTTGTTCTGACACCTCACAGTCAATTTACACCAGCGGCAGCTGAGCAGTTGTTCTGACACCTCACACACCAGCGGCAGCTGAGCAGTTAGTTGTTCTGAGGAGCTAAATCCAAGAGGAGCCATTTTATGTCTGAAGGATTTGACAGTCACCCATATTTGCATCCAAAGGACTGTTTCAGTGAGAAACCATACTCAAACTATGGCTAAGCTGCATTGAAATTATTTACTGCAGCTACAATCTGTATTTATATCTACAAAGTCAATATTTTGTGTATATATGACTACAGGTCAAATTTTCTGCCATTTTCCTTTCTTTGAAATATTTTTCAGCATCTATGAGAACATAAGAGTTTCTGAGACAGAAACTAACCCAGAAAGATCTCATAACTTTTGCATTTGTTATGAAATTAAAAAAAAAAAAATATTAAATTCTATTTTCAGATGTGGATATTCACTGCTCTTGTGACTGCAAAACTATGGTTAGTAAAGATTTTTTTGGGGTAACATTTTCTTTGTAAACATAACAGCTGCTGAATTCTTTTTTCCTACTAATTATAACAGCATTAAACAAAAATATATCACCAGATTCAAAATGTACATTCATTCCTCTTTAGAAAAATATATACTTTTGTAGAAATTAGAAAAATATTACATTCTCAACTGCCTTTTTTTTTAAACACCACCACTCTGCCACTTTTGTAAAGGGAAATTAACATGAGCCAAGTCTGTGAAAATTCATGGGCCTAAAAGCGTTATCTAATTATTTTTTTAGAGTTTGGTTGTTTAATATGACATTACAAAATACACATTTTCTCAACCAAATTGCAAGCTGTTTGTGAAGAAACTTCATCCCATCCCCACAGAACCTCTATATTTGAAGGTCTTATCTAAATGAAATAAAACCTATTCTTCTGTATATCTCAATCTTCAGAGCTCAATTCAATTTTGAGGACAGTTAGTTCATTTTGTGTTGTTTTTTTTTTTAAAACATTAAACCAGTCCAAGAAAAAAGGTTTCTTGAACAGAAAGGTGGCGAAGGAGCTGTTACCTCACCACATGTTGTGACCTCATAGATTAAAGTTCTAACACTATATCCCAGGGCTATTCATTCAAATGTGGCCAGCAGAGGCATAGTGAAGTGGCCCGCAGATCAGATTATATTACTGTCTTTCTATGCTGGGGCTCAGGCCTCTGATGATGCTAATTTGCAATATTGTTGGCCGCCTGAGTAAACTTAGTTGAATAGCCCTGTTACACACTCTTGTATTAGTCTTTCTGCATCAACTTCAACAGTATTACAAGGTTTTTAACACTACAAAAATTTATGTATAACATAAAACTCTTATTACAAAAGTACAATTTATGAAACATTTAAAATCAGGAAACAAAACATTTTCTTCTCCCAAACAAAAAAATATACATTCTTCCATGATCACCATCTTGTGGTCAAAGCCATGAGTACAACAAGTTCTAATACAAACTGATCTGCTCTTTTCAGTGTTCAGCTATAGTGAAATATTTTCATGACTATGGACAAACCATTTCACGAAACTATCTCAGACAAAATGTAAATTAAGACATGTTATGAAACTAATGACACACCATTACAGATTTAATCATCTGGGGTAAAATTTGAATTATGACATGTTATGATACTAATGACACTCCATTACAGATTTAATCATCTGGGGCAAAATTTGAATTAGGACATGTTATGATACTAATGCCACACCATTTTTAATTGTATCAGTTCACAATAATTTTGGTTTATAACCTCAACACCTTTCATTTACACATGTTTGGTTTTGGTTTCTTAATGATACATTTCTTTGCAGACAAATACTTCTGCGGTGAAGTGGTTAGGACATCTGTTTAGCACTCTAAAGTTTGCAACTGTAGATGTTTCTGAAATCTTTAGGGATCTACATGGTAAAGTACTCTGTGCTGCACTCTCTAAAAAATGAACAGATGTTTTGAAGGAAGAGACCAAGATGAGATCACACTGGCAGCTAGGAAAGATGATTCCCTCACCTTAAAGCACCCCTTTTACCTCCAAAAGCGCCCCAGTTTCCTCTCATTTATCATCAAAGCCAATCTTAGCTCATGAAACCAGCTAGGATTGGAATGTCTGCATGCCAAAATCATACAAGCCATAAATTATTCATTGCAATCCTCCCACAAACCACACAATCAGTTTCTCACAGTTTATACTGTATTTTAATCAGTGTTTTTTACTTACCACCTCAGAAGAGGATTTCTTTAATTTTGACCGATCGATCCTCATTGTGTTTTTATAACTCCAACCTGTAGAATAAAACACAATGTTTGGGTATACTGAGATTTCTGCAGAATTAACATGCACAACAAAGAAATGAACGCAAGCAATGTCTACCTAAAACCTTCTTCTTCTGCCCTTCAACCCCCAATGGAGCATAAGCCCACAACTAAGATGCACCATGTCACCCTTTCCTTTGTCACTGTTTGCAACTCACCTAATTTCCTCCATCTGGTCTACCTCTGGATTCCAGTGCAAGGACATAATAAGTCATACTATTAATATGTTTTCTCAATGTGTGTCCTGTTCAACTGTCTTTTCCTTACCTCTTGAATTGTTGGAATGTATTCAGTTCTCTCCTAAAGCTAAATTTGAGTGATTCGACTACATTCCATTTAATAGCTTCTATGCTTATAGTTTGTTAGTCACTGTTTTAGTTGTTCTGCACATTCAGCTCCAAATGACACTACTGATTTGACATTAGTAAATAAATGTATTCTTAGTAAGTTAGTTAGTAAGTAAATGTGTTAGTAAGTAAGTAAATGTGTTAGTAAGTAAGTAAATGTGTCCTATCTATCTACTTCTTTCCATAAGTGCTGATCAATGCACTTTCTGTTACTTGATTAATTCATAATATGATTTGACATTAGAGCTAAACGTTTTAAGTCTAGTACTAGTTTTAATTTCATTTGACATTCATGGATCCCCAAGTGCTATGACAAATGCTCTTACCTTTAGTATGCATATTTCTTTTTAGTTTCCTATCTTTATCTGTATTACTGTCTAAATAAGAGAATAATTAAATCCACATCTTGGAGTGGTATTTCAGCATGGGATTTTTAGGTGTTGTTGTTTGCCTGGTTTATACCCAAAACCTACTAAGTTATTATGTGTGTGTTGTCTATTTCTTCTATGTGATTCTAAAACTTTGGTTCACAGACGGATAGACTAGAAAGCATCTTAGCAGGCTGACACATCTCCAGAAAAATGTAAGTCTGTAGAAAGACTTACAAAATGACAAACACCAGTATTTATACAATAAATAAGAGAGTCTAAACAGATATGTAGCAGGTGACACAAAACACTATCTGCAGTAAAGGACATCTAGAAAGAAGTGACATGTAAGCAGATATTGTCATGTACCAGCCAATAAGTATGTGAGATTATAACATGACAACTCGCTTGATTACAGGAGT